TGCGGGATATCCACCTATATCATCTGCGGTATGTAAATAGGCGTCTGGCGTAATTAAAAGCTTATCTAGCGCCCTGCCATCTCCAGCCGTGCCGTAGCCCCACGATCTCTATCGTTGATTACTCCGTAAAATGATTGACGTGCTATTTTAACTGCAAACCGATAATGAAAACGTTCCTATACAGATAATTTGTACGTTATTCGTAACCATAACTATTTGCACAGGTATAATTGATCGCGTTCTCACAATTGTCGGTCTCCAGACGAGTTGTCTGTAATTTTTGTACTTATTAAAAACTTGTAGCGTAGTTAGGCACCGGCATATGTCAACATACCTATATCTTATTCCTTTCCTTCTTCTTAACGTTTTTTTTGTTTTGGAATCCTTCTATAATTTATCTTAATACGATACATACGTATTAATTCATCATCTTGTTGAATTGTTGACTTTTTCTATCAACCAATACAAACACTTCGCACACTTTTAAATGTTGTTTTAGAACGGTTTGCAGGCTATTAGCGTTATTGACGTAACGGTACGTACATTCCGAAGGCGTTGATTATGCTCTAGACTTGGGACCGATGAATAAATTCTAGCCTTATCGTTGTCTAGTTGTAAATCTTAAAACTTGCTGAAATATTGCGACGTGTCGATAGCTAAGACAATTTATCGAAAATTTCTTAAGTTGTACAAAGCTGTTACAGCTGAATGTATTAAATCACTTTTGGTTTATTTCCGTGGGCCGTGTCAACGATCTTTTGGGAACGGGTACATAATAGATTCGCGATTTAATTATAGCTTGTGGTGTATAGAATAATCGGGCATAAATCACAATATATAGATACCTGCCAGCCACAACCTGTTTCAATTCGCACTACACAATGCGTGCTGCGATAGCGCACCGCATTGTGCTCCACAAAATGTGACATTGTTGTTAATTTATACCTTCATGCTTATTTAAGGTAGCCACCTATTATAATTCAGATATATTAGTTTTTTCATATCCCAAAAAGGTTAAATCTCATGTTTCATACTTTATGTTACTTATACCTATTATGCAAATTAAAATAAATTTATATTTAAATTAGTGTATTTAAAAATGAAACCTAATCTGATATGATCGTCTGCCATATAATGGTTAATAAAGGATATCTATTTAGAGACTATTTTTATGTTTCCGATAACGAGCATGTGCAATTATCTTTTGTTCTTTTGATCATAATCCACGCATAACTTAAAATTTAATAAACAACTTTTTGTGGTGATGTTATTTCTGATAGTTGATTTGTAAGATGTTGCTGTATCGAATTATTTAGCAGCTATGTTTTTGTGGTTAAGGCCGTTAAAGATAATTTTAAAATGATTTGTGATACACGTCTGTATCTTTTTATAGCCTTTCAGGGTCGTAATTGGAACGGGGTGTCAGTGCATTCTCTGCAAAATGTAACGGCTTTTGATTCATCAATCATAACTACCTTTACATTATGTATTAAGTATGGAATCGTAAAATATGTTTCTGTTTTTTTTGTTAGTCTCGTATCTTCACTTTTTTTATGGATATAAAAATTATGTTAGTACTCTATATTTTAGATACCTCAAACGGTAGCTTTTATTCAGTTGTAGCTTTGGCTGAGCTTATGTAGAAACTCGATGTTAGATGGGATAACAATACTACTAACATATGAAATGAAATTATTGTCCATTCATATCATTTTGATATTTACATAAAATTTAACAATGAGCGCAGAACACGCTCTACTGAGCAGATTTTAAAATTTTTCAATAAGATCACATGGTGTTCGCGACTAGTGTCAATCAACGGTCAACGGTTTTAACAAAAAACTGTGAAAAGGAACAGTCCCTTTATTCAATTAATGTCCACGTCAAGTATCGCATTTTCAATACAGTTAGTTAAGAGCCAACTTATGAGTTATGAAGGAGCTCAAGACATTTCCGTTAACAACTTTTTTCGTATAAATATTAATAATATCTAGTAAAATGTACGTAAAATAGCCGCAATAATTGTTTCAGAAAATGATTCACAGTAGTAATTAACTGTGGCCCAGCATTCTTATATCCAACTTAGGGTTTTAAGTTTAAAACAAAAATTGTTAATACACAAAAGATAGAAAACAAATCGGTTCGAACAAATTCACTCCTCATATAACTTAGTTAGTTTTCATATTTAGTTTTCGTGGGTACGTATTTCCAAGAAACTATTACTTGTATATAATGCTAAGAAAACAGAAATAATAACGCTGGCAACATATACGGGAAAGAAGTCGAATGAATCATCGCATATGCGTTCCTCGTCAAGCTACAAAAAGTTTGTCGAAAATGCTTCTCAGTTTATTCTGTGCTGGATGTAGCTCAGTCATCCTTTATTTATACCTGTATGAAGAATTTATTTTTTGATGCTTTAAGAGCGCAGTTTGATACAGTGAATTCTTTAATTGACAAATAGCAAGAAGCATTCCATTTTGTATTGTTGTGCGGATATTGATGTAAAAAATATGTATTACAAGAACCTCATCGCGTCTATGTAGTATAGTTTTTTAACTAATGGGTATTATTAATTAAACATCATGACGCATTTATTAAAATTAACGACGTGAATAACTTATTTTAAACTCCTTTATTTGTTACTTATACTTATAAAAACTTGTGAAAGAAGAGCGTATTTCCAACAGTCAAACTAACGATTGTATGAAATTGGTTTTTAATTTGCTAGAATAATTCACGTATAGAGGGAGTTGAATGGAGTTGATTGTCAATTAATTAGTACAAGGACTTGGATTTTATAAATACTTTATTTGATATAAATATGTTACTTAACATATTTTATATGTATACGTAATACATAAATACTTTATTTTACATTAAATAATTAATAATGATCGTAGCTACAGAATGCTTAATTAAGAAGAAGTAACTATACATAAACAGAAGAACATAAAATTGTAAGCGTCAAACAGTTTTATTAGTAAGTGATTAGTTTTAACAAATTAAGATTTTTAGACGTTGCTTCATCATTATCTCCATTAAATAAATACAGATACCTAAGTAAGTTCGAAATAATTTAAAATATAATAGTCTTGCTATAAGTAAGTGATATAAGTTCCATAATTAATCATTAGCTGGATTGATACTAGTTTCTCTTATCATAGATGATAATGCGTGCGTGATACGAGCCACTCCCTGCACTTTCCCTGCGCTTGCACCTGCCTAGAGGTGCATAGCCTGTTCCACTTATTATTTATCTTAGGTTTTCCGCGTCATGGTTTTATATTCCTATGATATGATGATGTAACAAATTGGATGTTTTATCTATATATCTACATTTTTAATACTACATATAATTAGTGTAATTTTAACGTTACTACCTTTTGCTGTAATTAGTATCTTATTAATGTAACATATTCCCTACAATTTGGCAATTAAACGTATTTAATCATTCTTATCCTGAATGAATTTATTATAGAAGCAACGAAAGCAACAAAAGCAACCAAAATTCTGAATAAGTTTCTCTTTCGCTCTTTCTAATGATAGACCAAAACTTATTACGTTGAAATACAAAGGTTATTTTAATCTGCTTCTCTAACGGAAAGCTTGAAACAATTTAGTATAATTGGTTGTTAAATAGCAATTAAACTATGCTGGAGTCTGGTTGCATTTTAATTAAAAGATTAATAACGAAGCGGCCGAGGCAACGACCGGCGAGGATAAGCACGGCAGGCGGCGAGCTCCGGCACGCAAGCCTGCGACGTGCGTGCTCCGTTACGACACCTACACCAAATTTTTCCACATGCCCGAGCAGCCGAGATAAGCTACGGACGACGCCAACGTGTTATTTATTAACGAACCGAATGATCGATAGATGGACGCGACACCGGACGTAGACATGGACGAGGCCTTTCGAAACTCGCCGCCTGCGCCGTTCTGACACTCTGTACATGCGACGCGACCTCAGATAAATGTGACTCATAGTTAATTGATTTTACATCTACATATCTAACCAATGTTTTTAATATGTCGACTCGATTTTAATCGTCGACATCTTATGGTTTTAAAATGCAGCTAAAATGTGCCACTTAAGTATCACGCAAGCGTTATACTGAGGACAAGATCTTTAAAACTGTCGTGAATAAATAGCCACATCGGATTCTTTGTTTGATGTTACAGAAACGTTACCAACCCTTTGCTCAAAACATCCGTTCCGCTCTAGCATACGTCACGTCTTCGTGACAGCTGCACGCTATACTTTCTAATCGCCTCATTCAATAGTCAAAATCAAACAAACGCAGCGAATAGGCAAATTGCGAAATGGCTTTAATGTAGCGAACAATTCACAACAATGAACAGAGTAATCAATTAATTATTTATAGACGCGCGATTTGACAGCGTTGTTTAGAACGACTGCTCAAATTGTTTGTCCCAAATTCTTTCGATACCTTACCGTTTGTAGACACAGCTATAGTAGGTGAAAAAACGGTAGTGTGTTTACGATCGCAAATAAACGTGTTAGAAGACCGATCGGAAATTCGAGGTTCAGGTGCGCAGGGCAGGTTAGACCAGTCCCGGTGGCCTCGCAAGGACCCCAGCAAACCTGTTAGATTCGTTGCACGATTTTTACGTGAGCACCTACCGGAATCTCATTCACGTGGTGCACCCGCTGGCCAGTTAACTCGTCAAATGACTCACGCCTTGCCTATTTAGCACCAGAAGCAAGATATACTAGTTATTGATAAGATATGATTACCAGTTAGCTGTTAACCAATGTTCAGCCTTGTTAACATATTAACGTAGATCCTGCCATACGTACTGTACTGTTATCTAAGCTTTTACAGAATTGGTTGAAAATGATACGACTACAGCGATCCCCATTCCCAACTGCCCTGGCTAAGGAAGCCGCACCTACCTTTGCTATTTACTATTATTGCATGACTATTCTGTTTTAACTTGGATTGCGCAGTCAATGTGCGGAATTTTCGTATTAATTCATGACCTCCAGATTAATCAATAAACTACCAGGAACAGGAATCAGGTAGAACTACGATCCGGTCAAACTCGTCCGACGCGTGCTTCCAACATTTTTTATTTATTTATCTGCATCGTCGTATACCGCTGGGTATGACGTCAGGCAACCTAAACTGGTTGCGAGGGAACAAGGATTTGCCTTGTATCCTTCCGGTTCTGCAAGTGTGGTGGACCTGTTCTACATTCAGGTTGAGCGGTACCAAGTTTCCCCTATGACGTATAAACAATACATAGCTTTTTATTTATAAACAAATCCAAAACTTTTTCCATCAGTGTTCTCTAGCACCAGCTAATTACTAAGGCACTATATAAAATATTCATTATCTCCTTAAGACATATTATCCTTATATTATTAACGGGTTCTAGTTTGAATACTCATCACACAGTTTACGTGGCAAGTGCAGTGAGCACTTAGCGTAGCGTATACCCCGCGTATAGCGTAAACATCGCATAATGTGTAAACATTTAAGCCAGAGGCAGCTGGACAGCATTGATCGCAACGTAGGTTCTAATCCTGTCTGATAACTTGTTTGGTGAACTGGCCACTCGGCTTGCTGAGTCACTCAATGTACGCAACAATTAGTACGTTGTATCGTCACATTATGACGACTGCAGATGGTTACAAAGGTCAGTATTCGTACCGAAATGGTCACACCTAATAACTGGTTCGTAACTTGTAGTCAGTCTCGTAAAACTACGGTACGGGTATTTCACGTTGCTTCTTCAATTCATTCAATAGACTCAATGAAAAATGACCTCATCTTTTACCACAAGTAATGCGGGCTTAAACGTCATAACACAGACGAGTTTTCAAAGCCCTGAAATAAAGAAATCTTGTATGGTTTATTCATTAAACTTCATATAATATTATTTATCGAACTCACAGTTTACAACTTATAAGTTTACTAAAATTAAATAAATACATTTATTCAGTTTGAAAAACACACGTGATGACTTTACTTTATTTAAATATAAAAGCTTTTGTTCCTGTTCAAAACAACCGTTTAAAAAGAAGCAGAAAGCATTTCTGCATGAGCAGAATGCCTGCTTAAAAAAATGCTTATAAATCAAACTTACTTCTAAACCAAATGAAACATAGGTTCACAGTACATCCATTATTTATTAAAATTAAAACTGTAGTGCGTCACCATACCTTAACGTTAACTTTTATAATAATAATGAAAAAAATTCAAATAATTCATATAATATATGTGCTTTCAATAAATATTAGCAGAGCGCACTTATACTGGGCAAAACCCGTGCCATAAGTAACCGCCCCGCAACCTTAAATTAGCACTGTTTTACTCATTTTACATGACTATTTTAAATCGTATATAGAGTAAATGTTATGTAAAATATATTAATAAATAACAATATTTTTGCTAACAAAAATTTGTTTTTGTCAATAGAAGGCGCAAAGAAATGATGGAAGTGAGTGGTGATTCCTGGCGAGCCTACTACACCACGGGTCCAGAGCACCCCCTGAGTGCCGCCACCTCTGCAGTGTTGGGGGTGGCAGAGGACCAGCAGCCGCAGTCGCTCGTCACAGATTACTACAAACTCCCTCCTCTCGGACAAGATACCCATTTAACCCTACATAAGGAAGTATGGCAGTAAGTAATGAGGGAGGCTTTCAAATATGGCATCAGCAATTTTTCTTGAGTGAAGTAAAATACTACAGGTGAATTCATTAAAATTTTACCTCTTATATATTTGATATAAATTACATAATTTTATACCCATACATATCTGTTCCACCACTTTTAAAAATAAAAATATATGCTTTAAAAATAACATTTATTTAAATACTTCCATCAAAGCATCTAACTGAAATTATTTAACCATGTATTCTCAAGACGTATAATAAAACATTTAAATTGTGTGTAGGTATATGTTAAAGCTAAATCTAGGCGTTACTGTGCTCTATCTAAATCGCTATATTTGATTCATTACACAAAAATAACAGCATACTACTTTTTGCTTACAAGAAATTTAATTCGTATTCAAGCCCCGAGTAAGTAATTTATATAAATTACAAATTAATAAATGGATGCCTATCAGTGTTTATAAATATTGTGGAAAATCAATTGTCGATTCTCACGGCAGTACATCACAACGTTCGTGCATCGGTACAATTATCATTATAATCGAAGAATATTGAGGCGCTCTGAATAAGAGAATGAATTCGCGTAAAATTTATATGTAAACTATGTTAATATTCGCCTTTTGTGTAGTAAGTGTAGTACAGTTTTTATGCAGTTCCTTGTGTAGCTTGTCGAGTCTCACGGCTCACTAGACAGAGACACAGGCCGCGTGGCTTCCGGCCCTAACGAAAGGTGTAAGAATAACAAATAATAAAAATGCTAATGTTCCACTCAATAAATCATAAGCGCTCATTTGAATACCTATAGCAAGATTAACGAAAGAATTCGCAACTGCTTGGAGCGTCTTATCCCCTTCTGCACGTATATCATGTTAGAAATTAACATATTTTTGTAGTTCGATTGGGAATTTAATCAATAATGTTAAAAAAATATTATGATTGAACACAATATGTTTACTTGTATTTATGATATTCGTTTCTATTAATTTTCGCTACTATATGCAAAATACTTAAAATGTAATGAATCTAGTACTTATTAATTATTAGGTAGTTTATTTTAACATCATATTATAATAAATATAATATGATTTTTTGATGTTGTTTGAAGTTTCCAAATCCTATGTTTCCAAAGGTCGCGTATTAAAATGATAGTGATAATGCATTCAACGGTATTCCCATAGAAACGCGACCCCGATCAAATTATCCTCGCTCTTTGAGAGTGGTTGTTAACAGCATCCTTTGAATGCGACACAAAAATGAGCAAACGCCGTGACACATTCTCAAAAGAAGGGAGTGCATAATGTTAACAGATCTACTATATTCCATTTTATTCTTTTATGGAAATTTTATTATACTGCATTAACACGATATTAAAAAGTTAAACTAGTTCTAATTCACATTTTTTTTAAATATATTCTTCGCTTTATTAAGACCATAATAGTCAGGATTCCATATATTTTACCCGTAGTTTTATGAGACAGCTCGAAGATTAATCAGTTTTTGCACATAAAACTTATTTTACCGAAATCAAATAAAATTAAATGAAGCGTTCTGCTACACGTGATGACTTTTATTTTTTCAAGTCAAACATCGCATCATAGTTTATTCTACCTTCCTGATTGGTTTTCGCTTGTCATCTCCGTCACTATGTACGGGAGTGCATAAATACAAATAATGACATGAGACGGATGTGGCTGGAAGCGGCTCACATTGACAAGGACGCCCAGGACTTGTCTGTGCATTGTCGGCACGCGTCCCACGCGCCCCCTCCAGCGCAGCTATTTCTCATTCATACATTCAAATATTATAACGAATGCCCAACTCGCCCGCACCCATCCGAGTCTGCTGTGTCGCAGCTCGCGTTTGTATGCTAATCCATTATATAGTTCAGTGCCAGAGCATCAGATTCGGCTCTCTGTTGTCTAAATCGCCAGTGATATTTGAATTGAATACATACATAACGAAATTAACTAGTGCACTGTGTTTCGAGCGTAGTAGGCGGTAACATTTCGTAAAAGTGTCGTGCGCGGGCGACTAACTTCTAGTTATCTTGTAATGTGTACGTCGAGTATTAGGTGAAAACATCCGACATAAGTTATTGCGTATAGAAACGCGCCTTATGATGGCCTTAGGAGAGCCTCAACCTCCTGACCCCTACGGTCCTATTCACATCTAATAGGAAAATTGTGCGATAAAATATGTCGAGTGCTTTTCATACACGTAATTTGCAATTTATTTGCTTAATTTCTACGGATACATTATTTTGAAATGTAAATCTCGCAAAATACCCCATCAAATCGTTTTGAGGAACTTTAATAGCTATATGTAAATGTAAACTTACAAAATATATTTCGCAATTAACGTTAACAGACACCTACTTCGTAAATAAAACAGTCTCATTTAAAATGGCAATGTCGCGGTTTCTTTACAAACCTCGGTAGCTGAAACCGTGTGACCCATTTACATCTGAAACCGGTTCCTCTTGAAGATATCTGTATTGTTAGTGGCATAGCAGTTAATACCATTCAGCTCCCCTGGAATCACCGGTCCCCTTCAAAAGATAATGTGTAAAAAGATAGACTTCGTTAAGTCCCTTTAAAGCGATGGTCATCGCACATCGAGAAATCAGGGCTTGACCATTCTTTGGACATCTGTTATATCCTTATTTTTTCTATCCTGGAACAGCTGATGTTTTTAAACGGTTGTTGCTACGACACTTATATTATTAAACTTAACTAATAATTACTAGCACATGTACCACAAAAATGTTTACCTAACGGGTCGACCTATAGGTATAGGAAATAAAATAAATGCCTTAAATTGGAAAGTCGAGTACGCAATCAAATATTTAAGTTTAATGGCTTGGACAAATGGCGAAATGTTTTCAATTAAAGTTTTTTAAATGTATTAGATATCAGTTCCGTGAGAAAAGTAGCAATAAACCTACATTTTATCGAATGATATATTCAAATAGAATGGATTTACGTTACTCACATCCGCTGCAAGCGCCTTCTTCATCTGGCTTTATCTTTTGATAGATTTTAATCTATTCGTCAAACGATGTTTAACTGTCGTCGCCTTTGATTTTTATCGTCTACGCAGTCCAAGAATAACTGCTATGTCGAGAATAAGAAATTATTATTTATTTATAGATGATATCTCCTCGGGAGCTACAACATTACATTAAATCAATTAAAGCCTTAACTACTTAAGAAACATTTAACCTATAATGTGAACATACTTCTTGCTTTTAACACATACCTAACTGTAGATATTAAATATGCTATCAACAACGAATGTAGTAAATTAAATTTATTGAGGTTATGTCTTCCTGTGTAATTAATTAATACATTAGATATGCATAATTAGCTTGGCGCGTATATCGAGGAATTTTGTTTAGAAAACAGATTTCTTAGATGCGTTTCAATTTAGTATCAGATAAGACGACACAAATGTATGATTATTGTAACGGATTCATTTCACGAGGGGTTGGGTGGAGAGCATTATGAAAGTTTCTTCATGTGTGAAAGGGTGTTAAGTAAACATTGCAAATAATTATAAAGGCGATCGCATCTGATATATGAGTACGGTCGCGATTATCCATTCATAGAAATTTTTATATTTGCATTCGAAAAGTAGGTAGATAGGAAGGTGAATTCCTATTTTATTAAGCAGTGAAATGCTAATGTTGCAACATGACACTGTTATCAGATTATAGATCTTGAGAGACTGAGAGAATATAACTGAACATCTCAGAATTATATTCACTCACCATAATATTATATCCAGTGAAGTGAATAACATCGTCTATTTAAAATTAGTACGACTTAAATATATTATCAAACTGGAGGTTTATTTATTATTTTGTAATAAAACTAATTATTAATAAAATTTAATTAAAATATTATACAGATTATATTTGTAAATTGTATTTTGTTTTTTTCTAATATTTTACTTCCTAAATAAAATATGTACAGAAAACAGTTATGTTATAAATAGTTATTTACTTGGAGTGTTTTACGTATTATTATAATGTCAATTGCATTAAAATAATGTTAAGGGCTCAGCTGCCGACGAAAGGCAGTCTGTAAGCTTACAATAAATGACAAGCAAACAACGCATTGTACTCAACGCAAATGAATAACTAAAGTTTGCCACCTCGCCGTAGGCATGCTGTACCCAGATTAACTGAACTTAATTTGCATCTTTTGTAATAACATCAGTCTTTTTTACTGAATGTCAAAATATTCCCTTAATACTTTATTACTGGAAGTCAAAAATAAATAATTAAAATTTGTAGTCTTATCACATGTAAAAGTCACACACGTGTATTTTCAATACTTATGCATAAATTGTAAAGAATGAGCGATGGCAGACTTGCAATCGGACACGGCTGGATCAGCTTGCGGGAGGTCGAGTCCTGACCGAATCGCATGAAATAGTGCCAACAGGGATTCTTATCTAAAATAAACATCAGAGCGCCAATGAAACACGCCTTCAATTATCATAAATCGGCGCACTGACACCGACGAAAGCCGCGCCCCGCAAAGATGTCCACGACTCATGTGCGAACAAATCAAGCGAATTTAATGTAACTGCCTCTGTGGTATTTGTAATAGTCTTAAATGTTCAATGCCCAACAACAACACTTTATGGGCGATTTATTGTTATTACATTGTAAACAACCACATGAAAACAGAATGGGTTTGACGGTTTGCGATTAGCGCTAAGATCATTTTTTTTAAATTATATGTTGTAATCGTGGATTACGATTTATTAATTCTAATAAATATTATATTGTTTTATCCGTAAAGCTAGCTGACTTAATTTAGTTATTATTAATAACATAATTTAAAAGTTTATAATTCTCATTACTTTGACGTGTTTAATAAACGTTTCTAAAGAAAGTATTGAGTTATGTGGATTGTGTGACAGCATTTGCTAGAATATCTCGAAATTGTCCTTTGAAATAAATTTATTACTTATAATAATTTTCAAAATAAATAGGCTTTTGTATAATAAATAAACAATGTGCAAACTTGGTGCGATAAGAGATTTATTTTTTCCTTAATTGGTCGATTCGGATTTTTAATGTAAGTTTGTTTGCTTCTTGAAAAAATTAAGTACCAGTTTAATTATACTTATTTAAAAATTAATCATTTATCGATTTAAATTAAGTACCTACGCTAGGTGAGACGACATATTTTTGCACAAATGTTTCAGATACTAACAGGGACTATAGATCTTTAAATATAAACCCTCAATAATAATTTAAAAATATCCTTTAGGAGAATTGTTTTTGATTATTCTAATATGATTTATAGAATTTAATTTAATGTGGTAATATTGCATCTCTATGATAAGTAAAGGCCAAAGAGTTCGTCTTTGTGAGTTCCATATGTCCTGTCCTGTTCCTTTAAGTATACCTTTTTTTATATGTGTCGTGTAATTAAGAAAATACATCCTAGATACTGTATTCTTATATTTTTAATGAAATAAGATAGTACCTAACATTCATCCAAACTTAATGGGAAAATATCTTTCTCACTTGCATATTGCATGTTACATAATAAAAAAAAATCTGTACTTTATGTTCTTTTATTAGTTTTTCAGGTTTAAGAGTTTTAGATACTTTAATGTAAATGTTTAGCATCATACAAGAATTATCAATAGCCTTGTAATTCTAAATACATATATTTATATTACCAATGAATGTAGTAAATTAGTAAATAAATCCTAAGTTTGAATAATTACTCTTAAACAAGTGATTTTGCGCGCGCATTGCAAAGTAGATAATATAGCAGCGCGCGCGCAGTATCGCCAATGACGCCCCTCCCCTCCGCAGGGCCGGCGGTACGCTGAAGGCAACCAATGGAGCGCACGGGGCGGAGCTGGGCGAGCTGTCGGGTCTGCTCCACGCGGGCCTCGTGAAGCGCGAGCCCGAGGATCTCAGCCGCAAGGTGGTCGACGAGCCCGAACACGCGCTTAAGCCGCCACGACACAAGGTGCGTCACACGTCCGTTCGCCGCCGTCGCGCGCGCACGCACTTACACACTTTCTTTGCCGGTCACTCATGTTTCATTCGTTGCGATTCACGTACGATGCGAGCCGCTCGCTCTAGTCGCTCTAACAGCGCCCGCCCGCGCCCCGGTCTAGCCGGCTCGCGCCCGCCCAGCGTCCACCATTACGGGTGAACCGCAGGACTATCCGGGATAGTTTGATAAGTGATCGTGCATAGACAACTAGTGCTAGGAGCTGTGAACTGTGCTTTGACGCGGCATGTACGCGTCGACGTTACGGAGTGGACAGTTGTCGTGGGAGAGCGCGTGTAACAGGCGCGTGTGTCCGCAGGTGGCGGTCGAGGGGGGCGAGGCCGCATCGCCGTCGCCGGTGCCTTCGCGCGCCTCTTCAGCAGGCTCGCTGCTGCCAGACGCGGCCATGTACGCCGCACAGATGTTCGCTCCGCCGGGCACCCCAAGTCCCACACCTTACGGAGACCAGTACACGCGGCAGTCCACCACCTTCTCAGGAGAGCCCTATTATAGAGAATACTTCGTCGGTGATGGCTACCAGCAGAGAGCTGCACCTCCCTATAGTGATACGGAATCACCTTCCGCCTCGGCGTTTGGTGAACGCTACGCGGCGCCTAGATACCACAGCAAAAGTGTGATCGCTGCAGCTGGCCTAACTGTTGATCTGCCATCACCGGACAGTGGCATTGGAGCTGATGCCGTTACTCCTCGAGATCACACAGCCGTTCAGCAGGTCGGTGCCACGAGTGACACGGGCGCGGGCGGGCGGGCTTCCCAATCACATTTATTTATGTTAGCCACGCAAAACACAATGAATCTAAAAAGTCAAGGAAGATAAATGTAGTACTTCTACCATATGACACAAGGGCTTTCTAACTGGAATATATTATTTGTTTTTACTAATAATCAACTTTCTTTGACTTTTTGGATGTCCCACGCGCTTCTGTCATTTAACACTTTTATATGTTCTTATTCCAATAAGAATAATCTGGCAGAATTAATATTAGTACGTCTAGTCATTGAAATACGTCTTAAACTATTACATACAAAAGAACTACATAATTTACAAATCAAAATGTTTCAATGATTACTGACTTAGACATCTAAGAAATTCAATAATATTTTGAAAATATGGTTCTTATATCCACATTCTGAGAAGCCCCCCGCTCTCACTGGTCACTGGTTTTTATACATATATATATTATATATTTTTCAATACGTTTAATACTAAACCGCTTAAGACATCAAACAATCAAAGCGTCGAACAAAAAAGTAAATAAAACAAAACGATCACATAACTTCCATTACGGCGAGTAGAAATGAGTTAATATTGATTATGCTAAATACACATTTTAGTTTTATGTAAGTTCAAATAATGTTACGTATTTAATAGACATCTTTAAAAAAACTTAAGGGACGCCAAAATATTGGCTAGACATGGTTGATTATAAAATAAGTACCAAATAAGTTAACTAATGAAACTTTTAAATTAAGGTTAGTGCGATGAGTAGCAGATATCCTAATGATACCATAAAGTTTTAAAAATACTTATCACTAATTAGATATTTGGAATCCATTACGAATTTGGTTTTGGTTCATTAATAAATCTAAGTAATTTGTAATGGTATAAATCAATTCATTACATAATGGATTTCATTTCAGTCATTGATGTTCAAAAATGAGTGAGTATTATATTAAACAAACGAACACTTCCTGAGAACCTCTGGGTAAAGTCATGAAAATTTTAATTAGAATTAGTAACAAAAATATATTTTTAGGCATATTAATGAAACATAAATTATGTAGGTTAGGGATTTTTGCTAAAGTAAAATGCCAATTCATTGTTAGAATTAAAGATTTTTATTGTATGTGAAAACGTATGTGTATCTTCGTAACAATGTAACATAATATTTATGTAGAGGCTTGTGACAAGTTTCATTTCATATAATATTCTCCATGTGAGACCTTCAGAAGCAAACTGTTATACATAAATTAATACATACATATTTAAAATAATAAATTGACATGGTTGAAATATAATCGGTTTAGTAGATAAGTGGTATTGAAGGACTAATTCTTACTACTAGGTGTGGCGCTCACGAGTATTGTCGATTCTAACGCTTTATTGTTTATTGTACTTAACTAGGAATTAACTTCAATAAACTTAACTTGATTATTACGTTGGCTCAATTTGTGTCTCGAACTAAATCTAACTAAGCTGACTTAAACCGGAATATTGATGTAATTAATGATAACAAATTTCTATGTAATTTACCTAAGTAAATAGGTAATTCTTATTTCCATGATAAAAAAAAGAAATTCATGATTATGTAAGAACGCGTTGTTCAAACGTTTGTTATATATTATTATATGTTCTATAGTAAATTACTAAGCTAGGAAGGATGTTATCATAGATTACATAAAAACAATATTGGAGTAAATTAACTATTACTGATCTGATGATGAGGACTATACTGGAGGATGAGGATTATATTGATTAAATTTTTATGAATAAACATCATATATAATATAAATGAATAAAGCTTTTGTCGCATCATGAACATCCGATTCGTATAGTTAAGTGTTAGGAGCTATAGATATTCGCATGCCATCCTATTGCGTAGTAAGGGTTAGGTATTTATTACAATCGCACCAACCAAATTACAATATTTTTTTTCCAAAAAGAATACTGATTCTTAAATGACGAATTTATTTTTATTCTATTATTAATTTATTTCACGTTCATAAACTTTTAAAATTGTACAATAAAGCTGTGAAGTGTTGATGATTGAATTGAGATAGTGTTAAGTATCTTAGTACCGGTCCCATATTCGGGCATAGAATTATATCAACTTCAAAGCTATCCATAAATTATTTATTGTTTGAAATCACTTTAATATAATACTATGCCCGTGTTTTTTAAGCATTGTTATTTATTTTCAATATTTAAACTCCCTCCAACTACGTTTGGTAAATCCTAATAAAACCCTTATGGTATTGTAATAGTAATTAAATAATTAATTATCATCTTTATATTACTACAGACTTAAGTATTTGGGATACATCGGACTAGAGACAATAGATCATAAAAAGGCATGCATTTATTTTAAGTACTCGTGTGAACAAAAACAAAATAATCGAAACAAAAACACAATGGCATCAACAGCGTGTATAAGTAAATTACATAAAAACTCTTCAATGTAACCCATAAATCGAATTAATTTAATATTTTCACAAAATATATGCATGCTTTTATATAAATGCAAGATAGCATAGTAATCAACTATTTCTTACAGTCGTTCGAGTATACAGTAATATGCCAGCAGCCAGTGGGAGACGATGGTCGTGGGACTCCCTCAGCACACCACTCCCCTGCGCAAGCGCCGCGCACCCGGCCATGGCACGATTTTGGCAGACAGAATGATGCCGATAAAATACAAATTGCTAAAGTGTGAGTATACATTTATAATTTTAATTAGAATTTAATTATTAAGTTTGATATAGTATACATTATTCGTAATACTTAAAGGCTCAAAAAGATATTCAATTTATGACCTTTTCAATTTCTTGTGAACAAACTGGCTAAAATTACTGAACCAATTCAAATATATAATCTCTTTACAAATAAAACCTCAAGACGATCACTTAAGAGTCAATTCAGCATCACACATTTGTATCAACTTGTAATTTGAACCCGTTTACGGCTTCAATAACTCAATTTCAACTTTAAAACATCTTATGTTAGTTAAATGTTGTAAAAACTAAAACTAAAAGCCACGCTACGCTTTGCGCGTTAATTAGTTACGTAAGATTGTACAAATTCAAATGGATAAATTAATTAGCATTTAGAGCTACATATTTCTTAATGAAACTTACAATTGAACATGAGATGTAGCGAGCAGAACTGCTTTAAAATATGCACAATCACATTCTTTAACGCATATTTTTCGTAGCTCACATTTGCCGAATGGCATTCTAAATGATATGTTAAATAATTAGCTTGCTTAATCACCTTGTATGAATTTATAGACTGAGGAGCTTGAAATTTGTATAAACGTTAAATATAATATAGTAAAAATAAGTAATAAAACCAAATGAATACAAACTTTAAAAGGTATATATAACAAGAATATAAAATAAAATAATAATAGCAGTTACTAATTCCGCAAATCATGTTAATCATTTCGCATCTGCTATATTCTTGCCCAGAAACAACGGGGTATTTCGAACGACTTACATACGATAATATATAAATCAAACGTACGAATCTCATAGATTACTGTAATTAGTTTTAAATTACTTTCAGTATAAGAATACAATAGTTTCGGTACCTTTATAACGTAATATCAATATCCTAAAATAAATATTAAATATTTATTTAACCCAAATGAAAGTTGATTAAGTTAACCATATTCAAGTCACTCTATGTCTTCTCTATGGTCAAAACCAATTTTAATGAAATGTCAATTACCTTAAAATGTAAACAACTTTAACACGACGCTAATAGATCGTGGGTTTTTAATATAGTTGTCAAAAAATAAGTGGAAACCCACGTGGCAGCCTAAATCTTTAAATATGGTTTTTCGTTATACATAAAATATAAATAAATGATAACGAAGTTTTTTTTTGTTTCTTGTATTTACATGGCTACGTAGAACAAAACATTTTCCCCACCTTCTATTTTGTTAAAGAAGCATTGAGTCAACTTACTCAACTCGATTATAATTCCCATAATTCAAACCTATGATTTTTCATCAAACATACAACAACGGTGTTTGAATGTTTTTGCCTACATTTTAAATAAAAGAAAATTACAAATGTTTTGTGAGGCTAACGCCCTGATGCGACGACATTATGTGCCAGTTAAAGTGTTTTTTTTTCTTATCACTAAGTTAATTGTTAAATACGCTCGATTCAATATCTATAAACTATTAGGCATGTTTAATTATCCACCATAAATATTACTCGAAACTACCTTCTTTATGTTTTCCTTTTTTCATGCATTCAAAGGAAATTTCAAGTTAAAATAGGAAGTAAGTATAACATTTTTATTGTAACGCCCTTGGTGTATTTAGATATTTAATTTTTATTTTGAGAATTAGAATATTTACAAACTAGAAAAAAAAAGAAATTCGGTTTGAAATTAATTATGTACCTATATTGCACGCCTCCGGCAGTTCCCCACCCCCCCGCACGCCCCCCCCCCCCCCCCCCCCCCCATTCTACAATGTCAAAAAATCCAGTCTTTCGAAACTTGAATGACTTTTTTCTCACTAATATAACACTTACAGGAAATATGGGTCACTAAAATCGAGTTAAATAATCTATCAAACATATGGTATTTTTTTATGAACAATTATTTTGTTTAACATAATAAATAATAACATTAAAATCAATATTTTGACGTCCGTCAGTCTGTGTTTATGGATCCATGTATGTGGCAGAGAAATTGGTCGAAAATTTATCGTACCAGAATACATATTATTATATTATTTATTATATAAAGTTATACCCTGGGCTGATTCCTAGTTAATATTAGCGTTCTAATTACTGTCGTTTAATTATAATTTGTAAAAAACTAAAATACGACTGTGTATTTGTATATATGTATACATTTATTTTAGTATATTTTTTCCTCACCTTAGAGTTATGGCGCCACTATATATTTCTTCAATATTATTAGTGCAGTAGCATTGCTATCATATCAATTAGCTGTTAATAATGCAGACACTTTTATCGTACATTTTGGATAACGCAAAAATTTCCTCGCCAAATAACCTTTTCGAATCGACGAATTTTGGCAGTTTAATAATTTGTCGACTGGTACCTAAATTTACCTGACTCAAAAAATCTCCACGGAGTACGTTGTTGTTACATTTGTAGGCAAATATTCATGTTGCCACAAAAATTAAAAACAATATTTCTCACAGAGTATAATTAAAAACCAGTACCTAACATTCGTTAGGTTTTAATGGATTGAAAAATTAAAACGAGGTAAATTTAAGTACAATATTTTATTTACATTTCCACTTTTACTAAACTGGTATGGAGTTCCCGTTCAATGTTTGCTTCTAGTATAATTCCAGTCAGGAAAAGGAATTCATTTCTAGTAACTCAATCTTTAAATGTGTGCATTACTTTTTAACATCTTGAAATGTTTCGAGACTTTCAAATTACTTCCTGCGCGATGAATTGCTTCTTACACCTCTAAGTGGTTTAATCTTTCTCGTTTATACATTACCCTTAATCTATACGATTATATAGTGCATACATAGATACTAATTACTAAATGCAATCATACTGACGGTACAGGATTGCGGTCTGCACGCGATCCTTACATCATCCAGTCCATATATGTTAACGATTACAGAAAGCATTCCTTTTATATATTAAGACATTTTTTACTTTTAATGTACGTACTTAAATTGAACACATACAAGTATTAAAATAATAATCCCATTATTTTTGACAATACAATCAACCGGTAAGAATTGAATTTTCCGATTGGTATGTTAGTAATAATATTGTAATATAGTGAAGTGTAAACGAGAGCAAAATAATGACGTAAAAAGTTCAAGCTAGTAAAGTTGAGACAGTAGCTACAGTTTTACGATTGCAGTTTATTTTAGATTTATGAGTAAAATGCAAAGTGTAATCGTAAAGCCTATGATAAGGATATGGCATCTAAACAAAACTGAATAAATATAGCGAAGTATCATAGTAAGTGGTAGAGTAATACACAGAGGGTCAGATTTATGCGCATCTAATTTGGCGGCGCTGCTCACAGGCCCCGCGGGACGCCTGCGCACTCTTATCTTATTGTGCGTTTTTATTGCGAGCACTTTGTTGTCGCTGCAATCCAAGGCTTTTTGCTCACTCATCAATTTCCGCGCCTCATCGATTGATTTATTCATGAAAGGCTCTCGTCTTCACGCAGGAAGTATCTTTTTTTGGCCCCTGTGCTGCTGAAATTTGTAATGAACCTCATTGGAAAACAATACGTTATTTATTACTGAATATGGCTGAATCCCAGGTGATAAAATATATACGTGACTATATACGGCGCGATTTTTATGTCCACTCTTTGTATCTCTGAACATCCTATTTGTAGGCATAGTGAAACTTTTTACAATATGCATTCAAAGTTAAGGTACATAAAATAATGCAGCAATGACAATGGAAAGCCACGTCACAAATGGAAATTACGTTCAGTAAGAGAGAATCAGATAGGCGAGCACCGCTGCGGCCGATCCGTCAATGTCGGGCCGAGTTTGTATTGCACAGCCTTTATCAGTACCAACTCAGTTAAATCGCAAACATCAGAGGAATTGTTTACCAAATTGTTTTCAATAAGCTTTAAGTAATGGTGTAAGCACTCGAACTAAGTCGTTGCAAGCTCGCTATCTATTTCGTTGTTCTACAATTTATTGTTGGAATAAATATTTCGTGAGGATTTATAGCTTTTTATCGCGTTGCGTAATTTAAGGGACTGAATCATGAGGTGTACTGATAATGACGGGGACTGAATTGGTCTCGCAGGCTCTAAGGGCGTGGGCCGCGGATCGAGATCGCCACGTTATTGGTGTTGGCCGTCCTGTGCATTAGACCGAATAATTTTGTCGCGATTTCCATGCAATAAGTCGCAATGACACGCGGCACGCGATCCTAGCTAGTTTTATGGGGGTTTCCCTTCCGTTGCGTACCGCAGGAAATATCGAGAAAATATAGTTTTTTAACACGCTGAGATGTGGAAATCCACGTCTTTATGTAATGAGTAATGACGCAGCGCTTGCGGCCGGTGCAATTAAGATTTCAACTTTTTGTCATCTCTTTTATTGCTACACTTCAGGGAAACTTTATTGTCGCATGTTTCTGATGATAACTATCTCAAAGAAGAAATCGCGTTTTTTTATATAAAATCTGGTTTTACTGTACACGTTTTCTAAGCAACGACTTTGTGCCTACTGGGCTACTTCGTAACGTAGCAACTTTTACGCTATCTAGATCTATTCATCTTTATACGATGACAATTGACATACACTTTATCTGATTACAGTTTGACAGGTATGCTAATGCTGTGTTTTTTCCATAGGTTTTCACCGTACGGATTCAAGTACCATTTAGAAACGGCGAGTAGTAGTTCGCAACGGCGAGAAGATGACCGAATAACGTACATCAATAAGGGCCAGTTTTACGGCATAACGCTTGAGTACATCCACGATCCTGATAAACCACTCAAGAATCAAACGGTTAAGGTAAGTGTTATTCATGTTTTTGTTAAATTATGTTCATCGTGTTGTGTAAGGTTTCAGCAATGTTGATGGAATTCAAGTAAATACAAATTGGTGTCTCAGTCATTATACCCGAACTATAAATTAAAATTAGGAGTTTTTATTATATATATGAATATACATCCGTCTATTATATATAGACGGTTAATTAAAATTGATTAACTGTAAAAATTTGATAAATGCCTGAGATTTACGATTTGTTCCATCATTTTCTATTTTTAATATAAAGTATTAACATAACAAAAGATTTTAAGGTAAATATTAACAGGATTGTTCTATCATTATCAGGTCATTGATTTATTTCGAAAAACCAGTAGTAGGAACCCCGGGTAGGTACACCACGAAGCTTTTATTGTAAACAAGTTTAAAATTTTACAATTAGAAGATACATTAAATCCTAATATCAAAGTGGTAATTTCAAACCAGCTTCATCTCGTGAATTGTAAATTCAAACATATATTTGTGAGTAGTCGATTGAGCCTTAGCCCTTAACGGTTAAAGGCCGGATGTTTACCTCACTTGGTACTTAGAAAGCTTACGTACTTACACAAATGACCGTAAAACATGATATTCAAACCAGTATACCTAATTATCATGCAGTGAAAACTGATGAAAATATATAATGAATTTTATAATGTTGCACCTAATATTAACACTGCATTTTATTGCATTTCTCATAGTAATGATATGTATTTAGTTCTTTTATGTTAAACTCGTCCTGTGCCTGACCACAAGTATTAGTTTCACCGCTCCTGGTTTCATGTTTACCTTCACGTATTCACTTTCATAACCACCACTTTTTTATTGTAAAAATAACAATATTCTTTTTAGATGAGGTAAATTATTTATAACTTATAGTAACTAAAGGAGGTTTATTAAAAAAACATTAGAAGTTTAAATTTTGAATTATATGCAGAACATAATCATTTTTAATTGGTGTTACAGTAATAGTCTTAATTACACTTTATTATTGATCTAGTAAAGTCCTAATTAAATGACACGAATCGCGTGATTGAAGTCGTTTAATAGATGTCGTGGGAAAAGTTGACCTTGCGCAGAGACAAAGGTGCTACACCTTTGTCTCTTTCCAGATCCATTATTTGCCGTGGAAATCGGAAATCCCTTTATTGTTCTTCCACTTCCCAAGAAAATATAATAAATAGATCAGTGGCGCAATGCAATAACATTTTTTATTAATAATCTAACAAGATTTCTTGAATAACCAGAAAATATACCTGCTTCAATCAGGTTAATCCTGTTTTGATAATAACCTATCATTGTTTAAATGGGGAAATACCTTCTCACTGAGTTTTATAAACAAGTAATGAAATGATTTCATCAAATCGAGTTTACTCTCATTTTAATTGTTTTGTTTTCAAAATAAGGTATGCGTTTATTACTTCATACTCTTATCTCGATTCAATGCTTAGATCGGAATAATCAAAGATACAATGAGACACACGGTTGAAGTTATTATTAAGGCAGTAAGTGGGCCGCGAGTCCGGCCGCATTCAATACTTAGATATAGCTCTTATCTGGCTCGAATCTAGTTCGTATTGTATGGCCGCGCCTGATAATTAAGACGACGCTTTTGACATTCGCCATATAGGAACACAATGACCGCCCCAGGAGGCTAGCGGATAATATCGGCATAACAATAACCACTGTATTATGATAAAATAATTCCAATACGGCAAACATCGTGTTCCCTTAACGAGGTGGAAAAAGAAAAATAACGATACATTCTTACGTATAAATATTTAATGGCTTTATTATAAGCATTTAAAAGCGTGCATTAATCTTTGTTATAATACGGCGACGTGATACTTGCCTAAACATAAATCTGCCAGTATAGCCAGACACAGACTCTGATAAATTAAAATATTAAAAAAAATCAATAGGAACATAGGAGATTCTCACGAGCGTACGTATAATATTGCGTGTCTTCAAACGTTTAAATAATAAAACAAAAACAACACAACACACTTTTAGTAAATAATTTGTAACTTTTTAGTGTGCGTGGCAAAAATGTAATTAGTTTTGTTGCACGCAGGAGTTTCTTGGTTTTCGAGTGATTTTCCTTTGTTCCATAAGTAATTACGGGAATAGGCTATGTAAAATACATCGAAATAATAATTTGAAATTAAAGTTCGCACGCTGTATAGTTTTCGTTTATAACTTTATTTACATCTCAATTGAGATGACAAATTTTATTTTAAAATGCCCTCCATGGAGACGTTTGTACAGTCGAAAGGATTGTTTTTGAAGATTTTTTGCAACTAAGATCGTGAAAGAAAATCGATCAATCATACAAAGCTGTGGCAATTAATCATCTCGTATGTAGTCAGTCACCTCATTTTATATTCCACGTCACTTGAGGGGTCGCAAGACGTACACCATTACCATTTACCTGCGATTATCATTTCAATATTTCAACAAAAAACACGTCTCAATATCATGTTACAAGAATTAAATTTAATTATGTAAAATAATTATGTATAAAAGATATATAAAACTCAATGTTAATATACCAATGTCATTAATTAATTGACTTTAATGCGCCACTAACTTCCGCTTATCAATAAAAACCTAACTATTTATGTCGATAACAAGTAATTGCTAGTGTGAATAAAAATATAATATTCATCCATATGCAAAAAAATATGATAAAATATTGTATTTAATGTATATAGTTATAATAGAAAACAGAAGCGACGTTGCGTTATAATACATAATAAAATGTTAAAAGTATGCATTATAAAGTTGTTATAATATTCTATTATTTTTACGTCTGCTGTTTTATATTACAGTTAAATCTACTACCTACTATAACACAAAATACATCTAAATGGTTCTATGAGCGCAATGGTCAATTATACAGAGTAATAACTTTTTACTTCAGTTTTTATCGCAACTGACATCATTGTGTTCACTTTCGTAGCAACGGAAATTCAAGTAACGAGACATGTCGTTGTTTTTGTTTTCTTTTTGTAATATTTTACGAATTTAATGATTGCTCCGGTTGCCTTTTTACGGTATACGTTAATGATGCCTTTTACACTTAACATGCTATACACGATGAGAGATTAAAACGATGATATAGGTATACATCATCATACTACCATCCGAAACACATTTTGGCCATGCCGACAAGTGAAGGGCTGTCATACGAGTCGCAACGTATTTCTCACCGTGCGCATTCACGTGGAATTAAAATCGTATTCAGAACTAAAAAAGCACGTTACGCTGCAAAAAGTTAAAAGATATGCATTCGGAAGAGGCCAATCATTTCGGTAATCAATCACTTGTTGAGATGACTCAATTTACCTTGCACCCTTTTCTGAGGCATCATCTGTTTCTTTTACATCGCGACCCATCTCACTTTAATTATTATAAATTACAAAATTATTCAGCAACTGTTAGTAACGGTATTCCTTTAAGCTATTACTAGAATTTGTGTTTGTGTGTACTTTTATGTTCTATACAAAAGATGGCCAAGGTTTAATACAAGGAACATAATTATACAAACATATCAATGTAATTTAATTTTGGTTCTATAATTACCTTACAATCTCGTACGATAATTTTTTGGTTATAACAACAACCTCTAGTTCTTATCAGCGGGTGGTAAGATCAAAAGCGGAGGTAGCTAAATAAGCAAATATTTTCTCAAGGTTATTACTATTAGTATTTAACTATTACAGTGCCTAAAAGTGGGGCCATTTATTTGCTCGAAATTGTAATTGCATTTCAGTTCTTTGGTAGCTTGTAACATTTTAAAATTCCTGGAACCGTCACTTTGACATGAAAGATGAATGAAATTGCAATTACCAGCATCCAGGCGGCAGTTTTTGTTTTAGTGTGATAATGCGCTCTACCTTATACCAATTACTTGAAATATAAAATAACGACATGAAAATAATGTTTATTTACGACGCAAACCAATGAAGCTGAATAAATTACTGTGAACTTATCTTATACCTTTAATTATATGTCCTAAATAAAAGTTAATCATGTTCTAATTATGTCTTCGGTGCAAAAGGAAAGACGCATCGCTCCACAGAGCATGAATTTTCCACGTTCGATTTCAGATTCGCATAACACAGCTAATAACTATTACTTACGAAACATTACGTACTATTCGGTAATAATCACGTAACTACTGAAAGCATACTAATCGTAACACTTGCATTTAACTCAATCAATTATATATATATTCTAATCTTATCTTTAAGACGTGCTCATATATTTACATTGACTTTCACTTAGGTTTAATTCCATCACAGAGTGACAGTTAAGCTGGACACAAATGGCATTACGTAAGGCGGAGTTCGTCATTGTTTCAATATTGGAACTGTCACAGCGCGCGCGTATTTAGCGTCAATCCTTGATAGCATCGGTGCGCGGTGGACAGGCAGCTGCTACATTCAACCGCATTAGTTTAACATTTGGGCCTCTACATTATAATATAGTACAAACCGTTCTCTAAGGGTTTCAAAAAAGAATTTAAGTCCTCAAAAATTCTAGCCATAATTTCTACGAGTTGAATAGTTTTCTACAGGCCATAATGGCTGATTTTAGTCAAGATCAGGGCTTAGTAGCAACCGCGATTGAAAAGAACTTAGGCATATAGGTACTAAAAAACCTATTTAATTAAAACACATTCACAGTGTGAAATGCAAAAGTCCGCTTCACATAGATAACAGAGTAATATTGAAAGTTCTATGAATGCGTGATTACTTGGTAGAGACGAGCTAAGCTGCATCACGCTACAGAGCCCTGCACTTTACGATCTGACATTTCCTTTCGACATTTAAGCAGATTAGTGTTACACGCGCCTTGGGATGTTAATCCGACGCTCGACGGATCACAGGAGTTGCTCCGATTTTATCGAGGTTTAGCGGTAAATGACTGTCGCTGATAATGTAATCGAACTTTGTATGCTATATTTTATCTTACTTCAGTTTATATCTTAATTAATGCAATAATGTAGGTAGGGATTTTACTGTACATTTTTGCAATAGACTTGATCTATTGATAGTGTACATAACTTAAATATTCAAATTTTGTTCTTTAATTATATAGCTTATACTGATCGATATGTATGTACTATATATAGGTATTCAAACATCAGTAATAAATTAGCGGTAGGATGATTCCTAAATAAGTAATTTGTCTATGATATAGTTTCAGTTATACCGCTCAAGGTATAGACATAGGTATATTGGTATGAAAATACATTAATTGCTAATCAAATATATTGATAATATATAAAGAAACAGTGAAACTATATAACATATATTTTATATTAGCGCAGTTAGAATAAATACCGACGCGTACCGTAGACAACTGCAGTTACACCCACAGCTCCGTTCAAAATTTATGACGAAACCGACATTCAATTCAGAGAACATTTGCAGCAAATAACCAAGGCGTTAAAACAACTAGCACAAACAACTGGTGCACTTAACAAACAGACGTATTCGTATCAGATAGAGCATATCAGGGAGGACATTACTTTTACGCTATCGATAAAGCTCAACGGTGAGCGAAATAGTTTTGCCGTACTACATAAATAATTGTCATAAAGCAGATAGCGTCTGATGGATGCACTGCTGCTAACGAGGAAAGTCGAGACGTACAAAAAGCGAACCGATTTACGCGTAATATTAGGATTACTCAACGCATTTGCACGCGTTTACATTAGCTCGTCGATAACCGTATGATGCGGACTCGCATAACACAGTTACGCTGCTTTACGTTACGCACTACTTGTATTGCCCATGAAACCGTAACGGAAGATAATAGACAAATGATTAATTTTAATCAATTTTTTAAATAACAGTCTTAGGTGAATAATGTAACCAATATGGAAAATTTTACGTTGTATAAGATTGCAACAAAATTAGGCAAAGAATTAACATATCGTCGTGTTGTTGTGCCCTTCCCGTATACATTAAGATAAGTATTCGTATTAATTAAAATATACGATAGCTGAAACAAATGTTAATATAAAGTGATGAAATAAATAATTTGAAATGGTCAGAACGTAACCGATAGAGGTACATAATATTTGGGCGTGTGTGACGCGAGCTGGGCTGGGCAAGAGAAAGCGTGCTTAATCAGATAACTGAGATTGTCAACCGAACTCGGCTCCTGAAATCGGGTCGAATGTCGATACACTCGATTAATTAATTGGCGGTCCGAAAACCGAAGATAACTGGTCCGAGAAGGCAAAACTCTTATGAAACATTGGAGCTATTTTGAAAAGAAAAAGGCGAACGCAATCTTATCGACGTATTATCGTACTTGAAACTTCGTTAATAATAAACTCAATGTTATATTTAATTAATACATAAAATATCTGCTTATTCGTCATTAAATCGCTACTGAAATTTAAAGTTAAAATCAAAAAGATTTGGTAGAAGTTCCCTCCTTAATCGATACTTATCTTTTATCTTTTGTTTAGATGGCTTGACTTATTTTTTAAGCGGCTTCTATCATACATTCAAGTAAATGTGCATTTACATCTAAGTTTGCCTGTTAAAGTAGAACTTACTGAGATTTATATTATGGATATATTGTTCAGGATCAATTGCTGCCTTAAAACAGGCATTTAATCACGAGAACAGCAGCGGGCAGACAGCCTCTAAATTAGTTGCTTAATGTTTATGAATCATTAATACTAACGTAACTCGAGTAAAATTGTTTTAGCTCCAACATAATAGCTCCATTATACAAAACAAACACTGCATAAATGTCATAGAACCTATAAACCTCTTTAGTTTGATTATGATTGTCAACCCGATACACCTATTAAATGCGCGTTTACTGTTACTATGCATTATGTATTTCGAAAAATACTTGTGTCTCAGCGGAATTCTCATAAAACAGTAAATGTTTATATTTATTGCATTGATGTGACGGAGTAGAGGTGGCGTGCACCGTTATCATTTAATACATGGGCTATCTATAAATATGCGTGGTGCGGTTGATTTTACGCTTTAGCTGATAGGCAGAGAAAGCCTGTCCCGCTTATAGATGAAATGCTATTTACTGACACTAATATATTGATTCAATATTATTAAACTTTGGCGGTTTATTTTCAGTTGTGATTAGATGCGTACATATGTGAATATATTCAACTTCATTAGGTTGGAATTTTTAAAATTTATTAAAAAAACATGTCATAGCGTTCTTCATATTGAATCTTTAGAACTGGATGCGTTACGGCTGGAGAGTCGTAGTTCCATCAATCAGTGCTTTCTCGTCGTTAGCCCTATAAGGCTGGTTGGCACCACGCCTGGCGCGAGCCACTTCTTTTTCACTCGTTTTCTAACTTGTCTATAGAAATCGTTACAACATATTTCGCATATTTGGTCGCCGATGGCTAGTATTATTTAAAGCATCATCTTCATTAATTTTATAATTATTTAAAATTAAGGTATTTACTGATTTGTCATAGATTTGGTGCACACTTTAGCCAGATTTATAGTGGATTATAGTCAGAAACTTGTCTAACTATTAAAATAATAACCATATAAAATTACGAGATAACTATGTAATAACAGAGATGGTTATGTTCACGGTAATCGAGGTAAAACATAAAGTAGTCATAATATTATTTGTTTGCATCAGATGTCTAAATTAATTCCTATAATTTGTAGGGTTTCTTAAGAGATTTAATAAAGTATGTATTATGTTCGAATTGATTTTAAGCTTTCGTTTTATTGTTGCAGAGTGTTGTAATGCTTATGTTCCGAGAAGAGAAATCCCCTGAAGACGAGATCAAGGCGTGGCAGTTTTGGCACGGACGACAACATTCTGTCAAACAAAGGATATTAGATGCCGGTAAGTTTATTTCTTTTTAATGCCTTGTTAAACATAATTGAAAATTAGAATCTATTTATACACAGAATATTGTATACATGTCCTGTAGAAACAAAAACGCATTCCATTGATCACACAAAGAATCATAATAATCAAATGTAGTGACCACAAGGAAAATATAGCGCGAAAATTTTGCGAAACACTCAGTGGCAGAGGGCAATGGTCAGACGGTAGCAAATACGGAGACTGCAAAGATATTTTCAACAAAAACATGGATAATCGTGCTCGAGGCGACACAGAAACATGGCGAACGTTGCGTGCGGCGGCGCGGGCGGCGCTCGCCCGGCACGCAGGACCTAATTACCGTGCTGCAGGCTGATCGCAGAGATGCACCCAGCTAGGGCTGGCATCACGAAGGAAATCAGAATTCCTGCTGTTTCTAGTCAAATACAGACTTTTAAAATTAAAGTTCTACTCTTGAGACAGACAGACAGACTCTTCTATTTGACTTAAATTTAGGTTAATTTGAATTAGGTAGATGTTTTTTTTGTAACTAGCAGTTTAAATATCAACATATTTCAACAACAAAAAACAAAAAAAAACCTCTAGACGATGCGAGTGATAACCCTACTTCTTGCACCCCGCTACCCAGCATTATATGTCGTTAGAGCATTTGCATAAATAACGCGCACATCAAGTACTCAGCCTACACCGAACGATGAACCTATCAATCCTAAGCCTAAAAATAACCAACGCGGCGCCACATCTAGCCTTTCCCTCCGTCGTAGTTTCAGATTACACACACTTAATGATACATACTTTAACTTAATTAAAGATAAAATAGAATAGTGATAATTTACATAGATGAGGCTAAATAAAACGTTATGATAGAGATACCCAGCACTTTTATGCGGCTAACAGGAAATCGTAAAAATTCGTGAGAAATCTCCGTCTTTGAACGACTCGAAAACACCTGTTGGAAATACCAACGTAAACTTTGTATACTGTGCATATTGATAACATTGATTGCTTGTGAAATCGTTGCCTGAAACGAGGAGCGTATAACCAAGGGTACAATATAGTCGCGCGCGGACATAATTACTGCGATGATATCGCGGAACGCGCTCATTAGCATGTTAATTGCGCGACGAACCTCCCCGCGCCTCAGGCTTCTATGAACATATTTCTGTCTATATACATATTTTACTCTTCAAGCTATTGGAAAATTACGTTCCCCGATGTTCGCCAATAAAAGATTGCGTCATCGCTTATTAATCGCCCAAGTTAAAGTAAACACCGCTGATATATGACACTCCATACAATCTAATATTACGTTATAACATTCGTAATGAGTGACGACGTACCCACAAACGGTGCCTATAAATCTAATCTCAAGGAAAATAAAAACATGGAAGCCATTAATTCGCGCGGCGGGCCAAGTTTAATGTCAAGGTTTTGAGTTTTATCTCGATGTTAGTCGTTTATTTTTTACTTTATCATTTATGTCTTGGAATAGATTCGGTTAAAAACCGACATGAAATATGTTTTCCTCGATAAGATTTTAAAGAAAAATAATTTACAATTTATATTAATTAATAGGGTGTTCCAAGTGTCAGTCACATTGTACGTATAATAAACTTATTAAATATTTGAAAACTGTAAAAACTTCTCATTTTATGCACGAAAAATATCACAATAAATAATGAATTTACCGTTTTACCATTAAGAATAGTCTCATCAATTATGGCAATGAAAGAAACATCATAAAATATGCAAAGTTAGAGTAGCTTCAAGGGCGACACCGGACACCTGTGCGCGGGCGTGTGAAAGTGCAGCGAACCGGGGTCTAGGGGGAAGGAAAGAGGAACGGGAGGGGGGGTTAACGCAACGCACCGCGCCTCAACACAATAACTTCTCCGATTACTTTGGATTCTTCTTATATCGCGTGTCAACTGGCAGTTTCAGCGAAAAGCGGCTTCTTAACTTTTATTTGTTAAAGTTTTAGCATTAGCTACGAATCATTGGCCTTTATTAACGATAGACGGAAATATGATATTTTAATCCACAAGATTTGGTTTCGAATAATTTGCATTAGTAATATTTGAATCTAAAGTTGCTTTCGGCTTACTACATTTTACCTAATACTGATTTGTTACCTAAAATTATTGCAGAAATAATTTACACCGCTTTGATTTGAGTCAACCATTTTGTAAAATTGCAAGTAACAATTATGTAAAACAAGTGCGAGTAGGTGTGAATTTGTGCAGTGACATTTACACGTAAAGTAAGAGATAGTTAAACAATATGGTGTTTGAGGGCGGGCGGCGTCTCGTAAACACGTCAGCGCCCGCGCGACCGCACAGATTGTCTATATATGCTGATACCTGCCACAGTTGATAAACATACAGACCGGAGAAATCGATGATTTAAATTTATTAGGATTCGGAACTAAGTGTTTACTCATTAATTAGTAAAACAGTAATTAAGACCCTAAATTTTCTTATAATATTCCAATGTTAGCATTGTTAAATGATTTCCTGTAAAGTCTCTTTGCAATACTACTTCATTCACTACAGAACGAAGGTTTTTTACATCTCCAAATTTCAATTATAAAGAGAGTCGTATCTCGATATTGTACTAAAGTTTTCCCTTTACATGCATCTTTGTCGTGAAGGTTGCCCACGCACTGGCCCAGGCCAGATCTTGCGGCTATTACTCACTAACGACCACCGCCTGTCTACTAATGCACTCCTAATACTTGAGTAATAAACATTCATAGAAACATACAAAAACAACACTTTACGTAGGAAATTTTGACATTTTTTATATATAAATTGGTTCGATAATAAGGCTGTATAAAAACTCGAAATATCACAAATCACTCATGAATATTTTATTGCTAATTACTTACAAAATTGATAAATAAAATTAATTACTTTCTGATTATGTTATGCAAATGCTACAGAAAAATATTATATTATTTCCCAGAACTGCAAGTCGGTTAATCATTACCCAAAAAAATCAAAACACGACTTCAGATTGCAACTGTTGTAACGCGGTACCTTAATAACATCTCATGCATACATCGTGCTCGGCAGAAACATAGAACGCATGCAGATACCCAATCTAATGTAAATTATTGTGTTAGTTAATTATAATGACACCTTAAGCTTAGGTAAAATCGGCGGAGAATCGATCCTATCTCAATTATTCACGCCCAGCAAATAAATTTCCATCGTCGATGACGTATTGTGCGTTGATATCTTAATCGAAATCTCTACAACCATTACTGAACAGTTAGCTGAGGACATGATTAATGTTTGGTTTTGTTGCAGACACAAAGAACAGCATCGGTCTCGCGGGGTGCATCGAAGAGGTCGCGCACAACGCGATAGCTGTCTACTGGAACCCACTGGAAAGTGCCGCAAAGGTAAGCAAATACATACATTGATACTATCTATCGACGTATAAACATGTTTCGTGTATCCTAATCTTTTGAAAATATAACATTTTAATGCAGTGTGAAATTACTAGGTCTAAATTATCAAACCTTTTAAGAGTTTTTATGGTAGTTGTGTTTTTTAAATACATACATTTGATTATTGTTTAGAGGTCTCAAAACAGTCGCAACAATAATTTGCATAAAAAGTATTCTAGTCGCCGACGTGACTTTAAATCAGTTATATGACCATAATATACTAGATATTTATGTTAAAGCATTAACTTGAAAGCTAAAGCTTAGTGGTATGCCTTACAATATTTAAAACGTTAAGTTTGTAATGTTTTTCATCCGTAGCAAACAAAATAAAACGCATATTATGAATGCAAAAATATGTGCATGCTTAGTCCATACTCGCATAAAGTTATGCATTACATTTATACTTTAGCTTCATCGAAACCCAAGCCACGTTTTTAATTACAAAATTGAAGGATAATTAAATAAAATCCTGAAACCATATAGGGGTCGGCGGCAATGGAGCAAAAAGCTTCAAGCGATAGAGGCAAAACTCGTACTGCACAACTGTTATTTTAATTGCAAAAAAATATAATGTTCACGAACGTTTTATGGTTATTATCGTAATTTCTGCATTATTCAATTTTTAGTAAGATAATTTTTTGTTAGTTCCCTTACAAAACGGAATTTACGTTATTACACGTAATCGAATTAAGATAATATTATTCATATTATCGAGAATAAACTTGAGAATAAACTCCTTAAGTTTCATCTGCACAAAAATAACCGTATTAAAGGAAAATATAGTTTAATGTAGCCTGTAGCCTCAACAAAGCGTGTAATAAAAATATTGATTAGTTCTAGGTAGAAGAGAATCCACTTACGTAATTTTTACTATGGTCCTTTTGCTAGACCAATGCTACTAAATTTGACCCTAAATGACAATTATCTCCCATTTATCCCATCATCATGTTTTTTGAAATAACTATACTACCATAATTCAAGTTTAAGAAATACCTCTAAAATTAGCATCTAGTCGACGGACAACGAATAATCGGTTATCGATACCCATAATTATTTACGATTGCATGGCTACGGCGGATGCAAGTAGTTTGCGACAGATAATGCGTGCTCTGACAGTGATCGGTAGTGCGGCGGCCAGTAAAAACGCAAGGCGTCATTTGCATAGAGCGTAATGAGTATCCCGCCTTGCAAGCCTCCTGCAGCTTTGCAAAAACCCTAAGCTATTACATACTCATATTGGATTTTAATAAAAATCCCTTCTATCTTTTTGTTAGGATGAAACCCACTTGTTACCTGTTTTCTTCACGGCTCGTGTCCTTGTTTGGCATTGTTGATAATGTGTACTTATAAAGAGATGTTAACATGGTCCACATTTTAATTCAACTTTTTTCCTTTCAGATAAATATAGCGGTGCAGTGTTTAAGTACAGACTTCAGCAGTCAAAAGGGTGTAAAGGTTAGTTTAATTTTTCTAAATTTATACTTATTTTAATATTTAGCACAATAAATCGATTTATTTCCAACATAAAACCTACGTAGTAATAATAATAAAAATTAAAAATTACTAAATAGAGAATTTTAAAGTTTTGATATTTTTAGTTATTAAATATGTACATCTTTGAATGCACTCATCTATATATTAAATTAAAACATTTCTCTCTTTTCTGAGTTATATGTCTATGACAGTCTTAAAATCTATTAACAAGTCCGACATCCATTTTGGAATTACATCCAATAAGGAGCGAATCGACATATTCGTAATTAGTAATTTAAAAAAAAAACAACTTATCGTGCAAATAAAACAGGAACACGCATAGTCTTTCTTTGCCTTGTACCGTGGGAAATTATTGAGCATGGCTAGTTTACGAATGTAATTAAAATGTTTTTATGCCACAAAATTTTAATTAAGCTTAACACATTGAACGCGACGACATGAGGTCGATTACCGCTAATACTGTGCCGAAGACGCGTGGCGCATCATTTTACTATAAATATAACAATAACGTGTTTTAATTTTAAAATAAAATTTATTTTTTAGCCTTTCTGCTATATTAAGTATGAATTGTATATTAGATACTTCATAAACTCATCGGTTTTATATCTTATTTATATCTTAGTGTATAAATATATTTTTAATTCAACTACGACGTCGTAGACGCGGGCATTAAATAAACCCGCTATTTGTAATATTTCACAATAATATAAATTCCACATTTACAATAATTTGCATAAAGTTATTAAAACGGAAGCTTAGGCTCATTAACAATCTTATTAATCTTAGGTTTATTTTTTTATATCTACGACTAATTTAATATGTTTTATGAATCACAATATCTACTGTGTAGGATCAGTGTCAAAGCTTTTCACTTTGGTTATTTAGGGGTCACGATTTTCATAGGGATAGTATTATTTATAGTAATTAATTATTTATTAAATGTGTCTTTTGTGCTTAAGATATGGGGTTTGGTATCTATCATTATACCAACACATATCAAAATAGGTTTAGTCGCTTAAGAATGACCGTTTAGCAATTTACATTTGCCAATTTTTATTTAGAACAAATGATCATATTAACATTTATTATTTAAAATTGTTGTCCTTATAACAACAAAACTTTTAAAATAACTTCAGAGCGATTATTGGCTTTATTGACGACCTCGAATAATCGCAATTATAACTTTTAAAACGATTCGACTCAGACACGTGCATATTTTCCTTATTCGTAGATTCACGATAATTATCCCTTGTGTGTCTATTAAAACGGTTCTTGTTAAATATGATAGCTCTATACGGAGTTCTAGCGTGAAATATCTTGAGAAATTTGCTTACATTGCATAGATCCACGATGACTTAAATGGTTAGAGAAAGGCGTAGAAAATTACAAATACAATCTACTTAGAAAAGTACTTATACATAAATATTTCTAGAAATAAAGTTTATTTTGATTTTACAGGGATTACCGCTACACATCCAGATTGACACGTTTGAGGATCCTCGGGATACGCAAGTCTATCACAGAGGTTACTGTCAAATAAAAGTCTTCTGTGATAAGGTAATTTCTTTGAACTACATTGAGTAATACATAAAATAATTTGTTTATTTTTTCATATATATGATGTTTATCTCGAGGCTCGACAAAAATTTTGTTATTGATTTAAAGGGTGCAGAAAGAAAAACGCGTGATGAAGAAAGACGAGCGGCGAAAAGAAAAATGTCGGCAACAAACAGAAAGAAGCTCGATGAGATCTATCATCCAGTTACGGAAAGGAGTGAGTTCTACTCAATGGCTGATTTATCGAAACCTCCTGTACTATTCAGCCCAGCGGAAGATATAGACAAATTAGCTGGCATGGACATACAAGGATTCTATGGACATGACGAAGCAGCATTAGCTGAAGCCCATCTGAAGGGCGCGTCACCTTTCTTATTGCATACAGCGAAGCCACAAGCACCAGCGCTAAAATTCCACAACCACTTCCCACCGGATGCGCCTGCGTGAGTATTCAATCTTATCATATGCAATTAGCCAAATTTAGTGCACGATAAGTTATAGCCATATTTTCTGTCTTATTATGTCTTATTTTCCAAGTGGTAATTACTGTGGTATAAAAGAGTTCTTTATAAATTTTTACTCGTTAGATAACATTCAATCATAAACGTTATATTATTTTCAATTGAAGTGTGACAATTATTCCATTGATTATAGTATATTTTAATAAATGCTTTGTCCCCAACAGGTATCGGTCCGATGTTGGTGGCCTATCACCTTACAGTGATCGTAAGGATTCATTAGAATTGGAAGGTGTGCTTGGCAAGAGGGCACGTACGTCAACACCACCGCTTAGTGAGCGCGTCATGCTTTATGTCCGTCAAGACACAGATAATGTCTACACGCCCCTGCACGTGGTCCCTCCCACCACCCAGGGTCTTCTTCACGCTGTAAGTACCCATTAAATACCCCTAAACCTTGATACGTCACATTGGTATAATCAACGTTACGTATCAAGAACACCGAAAGCACGTAAATAACCTTGGTGATGTCAGCTAACAGAAGACGAACGAGAGTTCCTCTCGGTTCCTCGTATCGATATTCGTTTTCGGACTTAGTATTAACGTAAACGAAAATAATCGAGACGCTTCGTCCGCTGTGTAACCGTGTGGCGCTTCATAACCCGTCTAATATACACGACCATCATAACTGCATGTTGTAATTAACACCCGCGCTCGGCGGCTGCCTCGTTCCGCGATTTTTAGACTTCGGTAACTCCTCCGCGATTCTCTCTCTTTGTAAAACCACTAGACGAGACGTCTCGGTTAACAACCAAAGGCCCAATGTAATCGTTTTTATTTTTGCTCATTTTCAGATTGAGAATAAGTACAAAATTTCAAGTTCGGCAATTAATAATCTTTATCGAAAGAACAAGAAAGGGTAAGTGGTTTTCATTGGCATCTGAAAGTTCTGTTAGTTTTCGGCCGCCTCGCGTTGTAACGTCTCGCTTCACTAGAGGGCGCGCCACTAACTTCACATTGCTTTTTTTTAAAACTATAAAAACTCCCATTTATGCTTAATTAAAATTTGTCCAAGCCCTTTAAAACCAATCGAAAACATTTTTACTTATTAATTACTTATCAATTAAGTTTATTAATATGATTAATCTTACTTAATGGAAAATGAATTTAATTATAAAATTGTTGACAAGTTGGATTTAATGCGTATTAGTGATTAATGTGTGCTTTTAATTATAGGATTACGGCGAAAATTGACGATGAAATGCTGGCGTACTATTGTAACGAGGACTTGTTCCTACTGGAGGTGCGGCCCGCGGGCTCCACCGAAGACGAGCCTCTTTACGACATTACTTTCGTGGAGTTGCCCACTGAACATTAGCTACGATTATCACCCGACAATACCAGATAATTATGAGGTTTATTTTTCACCTGGACTGTAAAGACAATGTGATACGCGAATAGGTTTGCCACGTTTTCGGTTCTCGTTAAAGTCCCATAAATTATTATTGTTAGTTGTGGCGAACTCAAAAACGTACTTGTAACATTCCAAGTTTTAAACTCACTAATTATAGATAAGGTATTCTCAAGATGTCGTCGATCTCAGATTGAAATTTACTTATAAGTGGTTCATCGCCAACACTCATCTTAATGAACAAATGTCACAAATAATGGTTGAACGCCCTGTCTCGCTGTTGCGAGCTGCCTTGTATATAACTCTTAGTGCCTTAACAATCACACAGTAATGGTGATGGCTTGTGTATCGAAAGTAAGTTTTAAAATTTCCAGAGAGAATTTAATTATGTTGTGAAATTATAGTGAATCACTGCTGAAGATTTAACGTGTGTGCCATTCATCTGTTATCATTCTAGAATTATGTAGTTATCGTTTCAACAGGTACCTTTATATCTTGCCATGATGATAAAGTAAGAAATTCTTGTCACAAACATTTTGTAGATAGGTCATCTACGCATTATTGTATAATGAAAATATCTTTGTCATTATTATATTTAATGTTTATCTTTATGTTAAGTGAGTTAAGTCAAATTAAATGCCATCCACTTTTTTAAGATTTATGAGATAAGTTTGCTTTATAAGCTCGCTCAATTCATGCACTTAGATAAAGTAATATTAGGATTAGTTTCAATCACAAATTATTTCCGTATCATGGGCGCTGTGACTACTACTGTAATAGTCATTTACATTTCAAATTAATAAAATGATCATTTTATTACAAGTATTCATTATTGTCACATATCTTATTACATAGAGTCGTGATTTATTCGACTCGCAAAATACCTACATGGGTACTAAATTAAAAATTAAAAGGGTACTGATTAATAAAATAGTAAATGGAATCAATAAAACAAATTATAATTTTAAATGAGTCTTAGCGGCCATTTTGCATAATTTACAATGTTTAATATGTAGTAGTCATTTATATGTAGTCACAAGTCGTCAAAGCAGAATTAATAATTTCATCAACGGGAGTGGTTTGTGTACTTTTGTGTACTTACTTAGATATGTTATGCATAATATATTTTACCTTCGGGCCATGACAATATCGATCAAATATTTAATATTTTTGCATGAATCTCGTATGATATAATAATCTAGATTTACCCACAATAAACCGATGCTAATGTCTGTAATAAGATGTCTTTTTGTCACAAAATTTATATTAAGTGTTGTCCACCGATTTATTCGAAATTCAGAACCAGGTTCTGTTTGAATATTCCATTGGTCGCAGACAAAGTCGCCCAAGATATAATATTAAGTGGAGTGCCGAGAGCTGACGGTTCGACTAACTGCCATATTATGACATAGAATAGTTAACGATTTTAGTTTAGGGTATGCGTAGTTATACTGTCAAGTTTGCAGGTATCGAATTATTATTAAGTTTACAATTTACATATTTCTGTGGAAATTATATGATTGTGATTGCGCCGTGACTGCGCCTCATTTATTCTTCCATATCGTTATCACTCGTTATGTCTAACCACTATGTTTATAAATTTTAATCTCTTTATGAATTTATATAATTTGTATGCATCGCATTGCTCAAAGTCTGCATTTACCTTTCACGCGGAGCGGACTCTAACATTGTTATATACCTACTTACTTATGATGTATTATTTATTTATGTACTTATATTATAAATTATGCAGCTTTAATGTTTTTAACTTACAATGATTTTAGATCGTGATTCTGAATCTCGTCATAAGTCACAAATGTCAGTAGCAATAAAGTACGCAAATCAGTTGTATTGTAGTAGTTAGGTAAACGGGCGTGACCCGCGCAGCAGCCATGCGTACGCGATCTTGTGCAATCATGTTTATTGGAGTTATCTGTTATTTGATACGTGTAAGAAGGAATTTATGTAATCAAAATATATCATATCGATGAAGTAAACAAGCTATGTTAAACTCAACTGTAACTAATATGTACGCGCAGTTAACAGATTGAGTGTAACATATTCTTCTGCTTTGTAACTATCGATCCGATAATAACTTGAAAGCTTGCTTGAGCTTGAGCTGTTCGATATTTTTGTTACATATTTATCGTGCAATGTTCACAAACGTTTCTACTTAACTCCAGTTTTCTAAGGTGGAATTTAAAGAAAGCTAGTGCAAAACATACAGAAACATTATAAAACATTCCACTTAGTATTAACGATGAACAAGATACACTTTCTTTTCCTTTCCGGTGTTAGTGCGGTGTAAATAGAAGCTTTAAATTATAATATGAAATGTTTGTGAACATCGTGAAATAGATAAAAATATAGGGTATGGTCAATATGGAAGAAGTTATTCGAAAATTGTAGAGATATTTCTGATTCTTATCTTGTTATAGTCACCCTTTTGGGGCTTCGCAAATAAATGTCGTACTAATTCAGTGATGGTGTCTGCGTCTGCAACTCTTACATTTTTAAACAGACACTCGAACCTTCTTGAGGTATTGTCATCTCGATGTGAAAAGTACTCATGAATGCGAGATGCAGACATTGTGACCGACTTCTAGTGGATAACGAATTCGCGGGCTTTGCGTGGGCACGCCCCATCGTGGAGTCACACTAGTTATACGTACCGAAAGTGGTAGCACATTTTCGTTGATTTTTAATGTACTTAATATTAAATAGATGTTACGTTATTCTTTTATATGAATATTTGTAAGTTGTCATAAAAATATTATTAATATAATTATTTTTATCAAAGTTTATGATCTAAATAAAAATGTTTTTCTTCAAAACAAAATGTCGTTTAATTTTACGTGCATAGACTTCAAAAGTACGTATATGACCACCACTAAAACGATGTTTGGTAACTCTGTCATAGGCACTGAAATAGAAAATACAATATAACATAAAATTTTACCGAAACCACATAATATTCTGAATTTGATAAATGGTGGAAGAAAAAAAATAATTTTACACATATTTTATTAATGACTGTCAACAATAATACAACACACATATTTACATCAAAATTTTAGTCGAACATGAAAAGCATTGAGGCGACATATACGTATACTTTTATTACACCTTGTACCTATAACAAAAACTTAATAAAATATGATCAAACGTTAATATTGAAGTTAAACTAACGAAGCCCTTAAATTTCAATTCAAGAAACTGCTTACTTAGTAAATGTTAATGTAGAAATTTTAAAACATAAATAATCGTTTGATTATAAAAATCTTTAATACTTTGTATCTCGCAGGCACTTAGTTTTATTAAAAAAATTATGTTAAACTCGATAACAAAAGCAATAAGTCACTTATTTTTAATGAATTTAACACATCGATTATTTAATTTAAAAAAGTCAAGGAGTACATTTTTGCCATCATTATAATATAATAATAATAATAAATACTTCTACTAAATGTTACCGCTAAATATATTGACTAATATATAATAATAAATAAATAATTTAATAATATCACACCAATATTTCAGAAATCACGCGCAAAAAAACATCGTACGCTAGATGACATATTTTATAGTTATACTACAGTAAATCTAAGAAACTAATTGAAATAAAATAGCCACAATTATTGCTTATAGATATTAATTCCTACACATTTGAAGCCAAGATTAAAATCTACTTTGCAATGGCAGTCTATAAAACTAATTAAAAAGTCTGCAATAAAACAATTCACTTACAAAAATTTAAAGTCCGTTATTTATGTTCTTCTTTTTATAAGAAGAACATCAATGTCCCAGCAAAGAAATACAATATATAATATTGGGGAAATTCTACGGTAAACCTTCTTTCTGTATTTCAGGAGGACGAGTGATTACGTTTAAAATCAACTAGGATAAGAGTATTTTTTCAAAGACAATATAGCGTTTTAAATGCCTATATGCTATAAAATGGCAATAAAATTTAATATGAATATATAATATTATTTTTGTAAGAATAAATGTTTTCCAGAACCAAAATAATAAGACAATGACTTACAGCGCAAGCGCACTACAAGCATTTATATTTGAATTTTGAACCGTTCCCCTTCGGAACAGTCCATAAGTGATGGCTATTGAATAAGGGGTGAGCTCTGATTATCGCTGAAATCGAGGGTGTAGTACATATCTGTGGTGTCAAAGGAAGTAGGGGGTTGGAAGGGAGCGGGGTTCGGTTCCCGTTTGTCCTGGAGCCAGTGGTGTGGAGGTCCAGCTTCGGAGACTCGTGCGGATAATCCGGATAACAGGCGAGAGTATGTTTTGTTCACGCGGCAATGGCACGCGGTTACCTATAATTTTAATTAGTTTTAATGTATAATTAATGTTTTAATTCACTCATTGGTTGATAGAAAGTATGAAATCTATATTTTAATACTACATAAGTATCAAACTCATTAATAATGTACCCTATAACATTATATTTTTTTGTGTAAACAAAGGTACAGTAGAGTCACTAAGTACGATTCCTGGTGAAACAATAATTGTTTCCGTTTGAAAGGCGTAGAAGCCTATCAGAAAAAATATTGATATATTACGCAATAATGTACTTGCTCCGTGCCATATAACGGGATTTCCCTCATAAATTGTTATTTCTCTAGCAAATTTTGAAAACATGTACGATACATGTAAGCGAACTACCGCAATCGTTACTAATGTTTAATAAGAAGGATATAAAAAAATAAAGCTATTTTATCATTCCAAATTTAAAATTACTACTAACAAATATTTATCAGCTTTACATATTGTTTACATGGTGAATTAAACTTAGGCCAATTTAGGACCTCACACAACTGAAATGAAAAATATCAGTGCTAAACCCAGAACATAGTCAAATATACAATCTGTGTGGTTTATCTCGAAACCACTGTCTTCAAGAAAAATCACTAACCACAACTCCGACAATAGCAATCGCCGCTCCGAGGGTCCCAGCCGCAATATAGACGTTGTGGAGTCGATCATGGTACAGGCCAAGAGGCAGCCGCATTACTCGCACAGATCCTCCTCCTTGTGATTCAGAGTCCACGTCTACGTCACCATCTATCACTGGCTCCAAGATAAAGTCCTCTGAAGCATAAAAATCGCTAATTTGTTGCTATGCGCATATTTTTGACAGTTGCTCCTCGTGGGCGATTATCGAGGACCTCACGATTTGTTTTATTTCTCTATTTTTGTATGTTAAACTGAACTATTTTTCGTTGTAAATAATCCAATAATATTAATAGTTTCCAAAAACACATTTTATTTACGGGCTTCATTGCATTGGATAGTAGTTAAGGTATATTTATTTAAAGCTGACACGTAACAGGTAACAAGGCCGACTAATCCATTGATTTTGAATATGTTTACCGGCAGTATAATCATGATATAAATATTTGCCATACCTTTACTGGTTTCAATCCAAAGTAAAAAAAATATTATCTGAACATACGTATACGTATAATATATATTCACATTTGTATCTATTTTAGTTTACATGTTGTTATTTCCAGTACCAAATAATAAAACAGGAAAAAAACTGCTTAAAATGTTCGATGAAATATTATATCTTACTGTATTTAATTATTGTAATATGAAATTATGTTTAATTAAACTCAAAAATTTGTTTGCTGGGATTATTATTGTAAAGCAATTGTCGACTAAATAAAAACGTAGAGATTAATTAAAGTTTTAATAGTAGGTACCTTCACATAGTCGGCCCGTGTATCCCGGTCTGCAGGAGCAATAAAATGAATCCACACCACTCCAACAAGTACCACCATGAGCGCAAGGGTTATTATCGCAGATCTGTAACGGAAAGTTATTTAGAGAATAAAACAGTTACGAAACCTACAGAGTGAATAAGACCCATTGACGTTGAATTAAGTTTATATCAAATTAAATAATTTAATCTCACCCAGCATGTCAAAATATCTTAAGTTGAATCATGTGATGTCGCTGAACTTATGTATTTGTTATAGTGATGACTTAGTCACTTAGTACATTTACAATGAATATTATAAATATTGTTGTCAGCTAAATAAAAATCTCTCCATATCAGCGCGGTATTATGACGAATAATTTATTTATTTCACGTAAAAAGTTCCCATACCGATGTGGCTGGTATGTGGCACTCTTCGCCAACGAATCCGCGGGGACATTCACATGTGTAGCTGTTACCATGGTCTACGCAGTATTGGTGATCATTACAGGGGTCTGGTAAGCACAGGTCCACCTATAAAAACAAAAAAATTGAGCTAAAAAATACTCAACATATTTTAAAATGGAACCGTATAAAGCAATGTCATAAGCAGGGCCCGAGTTAATTTTTAGTTTTAACTGGTAAGGATGTGTCACGAATTTAAAATATACTATACAAAAACGCGGTTAATATCACAAATATTTTTTATAGTCAATACATGGCTGTAATGAAGAGGAATTATCAGCAGTTTTATAACGCCCTGTAAAAATAAACATTGTTGACATAAACATTCAACCTCAGTTATAAAAAATTCAGCCTACAAAATCCACATAAACGGGCCTGTCTCATGCCCCATTGGGGGGTTATTAATACGAACGCTACCTTAAACTGGCAAGTCGGTCCATTGTAGCCTCGTCCACAAGCGCAGGTGAACCCTCCCACGCGGTCAGTACAAGTGCCGCCGTTCGCGCAAGGAGACGACTCGCATTCATTGTATTCCAATTCACATTTGTCTCCAGTATATCCTAATACAAATGTGTATTTTGAGAGGTGTATAACATAAAATATATAGTACGTATATAAAGAGTCTCTCAAGTCTTAAGATATACCTACAACATTCGATAAAGTGCTTTGATTAAGAATGCATATTATTTTCATGGTTTTCTTAGTGGGACACGTTTTAGTATTTACGTGTTACGAATGTACGCAATATTTTCTAACTACATACACACATACACTACTATTTACGACAACCGGTCCAGTCGTTTAGTTCAGACTCAAATACCAGTATTGAATACAATATAAAGATCATAAATGAGGAATTAAAGTTGTTAAAATTATTTTTTGTAACGTGTATATAGGACCATTCCTACACGAGAATTCGTTTAGAATTAAAAAACATTTATAATAAAATATTCCCGTTTAAAAAACAAATATCATACACACATACTCATACACACACACCTATTCACACACTGACTCATTCACTTCATTTGTAACACTAAATTTATAACTATTATTATTTTATTTTTTTAACTAATCGTCAAAACCGTTTTTTACGACCTCGTTTTCTACCACCCTTCCCTTTTTTTTCCCCCCTTTTTTTGTTGGGCGCCCCCCCCCCCTTTTTTTTTTTTTTTTTAAAAACCCCCTTTTTTTCCCCCCCCGGTGCCCCCCCTTTTTTTTTTTTTCCCTGTTTTTTTTTTTTTTTTTTTTTTTTCCCCCCCCCCCCTCTTTTTTTTTTTTTTTCCAAAAATTTTTTTTTTTTTTTTTTTTTTTTTTTTTTTTTTTTTTTTTTTTTTTTTTTTTTTTTTTTCCCCCTTTCCCCCCCCCCCCCTCCCTTCCCCCCCCCCCCCTTTTCTCTTTTTTTTTTTTTTTTTTTTTTTTTTTTTTTTTTTTTTTTTTTTTTTTTTTTTTTTTTTTTTTTTTTTTTTTTTTTTTTTTTTTTTTTTTTTTTTTTTTTTTTTTTTTTTTTTTTTTTGGTGGGGGCTTCCCCTTTTTTTTTTTTTTTTTTTTTTTTTTTTTTTTTTTTTTTTTTTTTTTTTTTTTTTTTTTTTTTTTTTTTTTTTTTTTTTTTTTTTTTTTTTTTTTTTTTTTTTTTTTTTTTTTTTTTTTTTTTTTTTTTTTTTTTTTTTTTTTTTTTTTTTTTTTTTTTTTTTTTTTTTTTTTTTTTTTTTTTTTTTTTTTTTTTTTTTTTTTTTTTTTTAACTAATTACACGTAATAATTGTTTTCTAGTTACCCACAACACAGGGCGTCCCTAGTGTGGGGACTAGCGATATATGAATTCTGTCACAAACCCTTTTGTCATAAATAAAGTTTTTATTATTATTAGATAAAACGCTAAAATAAAATAAGAACAATAAGTAGCTCTGAAATATTGCCAAACCAAAAATGTTAATATTTCAACTTTCGACCGTTTTCGCAGTAACTAAATTACTATGTGTACCAAATTCATTCGGATGAATAAAATGATTTTTTTTTTTGTTCAAATGAAACAACATGGAATTAATACGAGGCGAAAGGCTGAGTTTGAGTGAAATTTCGTTTCACGTTGGTCGACATTATGATATGATTTGCTATTTTAAAAGAGTACCGAGAGTTTTTTACGCCGGCTTTTTCTCTCGGCCTACACCCTCTGTCTTCTTTGCCGATGAGTAGGGATGCCTACAAATTCAAATTTAATGACGTGGAATAAGTGATACATGTATCTTATGATCCTTAATAAACATATTTAATTTTATTTAAATTTATGATATCACTGAATAAATTCAAAACTCTCGTTAAACGTAAAATAATAAAAAGGAGTAAATGTAAATTTAGAATCAATTTATAACATACTTTCTGTTGAAGTTCATAAGTGTACTTAGTTACCTAATATGTTAATATGAATTAAGTTATTTTGAGTATTAAGTTTGTGATTTAAGTTTGTTTCGAGGCTTTGTTATCTTTTAATCCTGACTAAGCAGCGTACGTTCTAAATGGCATAATGCCAAAATGCATTCACGCTGCATATCGATTTAAAACACCCAGTGATAAACTGATATTCCTAAGGAATATTAGCCTATATATGGGACGTTGTTCGTACTGCGCAATAAAATATACCGTAAAACCGTTCGTTTTATGAAAAGACAAATTCTTTGAAGTATGAAAGTAGCATTTTTAGCCGTCTATGAATACTTCAAAGAAAATTTCGAAAATTGTTTAAAAAATTTGCGTTTGTCTGATTCAGTTTATGAACTAGTTTTTAGATTCTGACAAAAAGTTCAGTTTTATCTGATTTCATTTTGTTATTCGAAATTTTTATGGACGACGCATATCAAATTTTGCCTATGTGAGGCCCATATAACATCACATAAAGATAATGGAATATCTATTCCATAACGGTAATAACATATTGCACCGATGTGAATACAAAAAAATATAAAATTTGGTACTAATTTTGCTCCGATTTTTACTAAAAAACCTAAAAATAGATAAAAACCTAGCCACCATTTAGTAGCCAGACCACGAACACGACTTACTTCACACCGTAATCTCATTCGACAGGGTTTTTAATATTCACGAGTCAATAAGTTGACGAAGGGAGATGTTTTATTTCCAAATTTTGTTTTGACGATCGAATTCATTATCATATTTATTGAGCGAAAAATATAGTGTTTATATTATGCTTGTTTAACATATTGCGATGATGAACTTTAAAATTTTTACGACTCTTAATAAACGATAAGCAGGCTATATATCGAGCGATAGGAAATTAAAATTTTATATCGCTTTACATAAAGGAATATACATAACCAATTTTTTTAACATTGCGATCCATTCTCATTCACAAAAATACGTATCATTTTAAATTAATTAATAAATGCATTATTACTTATTTTTGCGGGGCATACCAAATTTTAGCACTTTTTCTATACAGTTACATTTTAAGCATTTGTTTAAGGAAGAGTTTTATATTTGTTTGGTCTTTTAAATATATAACAACTAAACGTAAATATTATTGTAATTGGGAAATAGTAAGCGAGTAAAACCAGTAAATTAACGAAGTTATGAAAGAAAAATAATTCTCACCAGGCTCACAGAAGCAACGATACTTCGGACCCTCCTCTTCATCGGTTTGTTCAACGCATAAACCTTTAACGCAAGGCTTGTCTGCGCAGGCGCCGCCCGTGCTTGGCATCTCACAGTGCATTCCAGTCCATTCATCTGTGCACGCGCAATGGAACGTAGTAGAACCATTCATGGCCATGCTCATACACGACCCACCGTTAAGACAGGGTGAGGAAAAACATGGATCTTTTTCGCATTTCCTACCTGTGAAGCCTGAAGAAAATTGTACTTAAAATAATTTAAGCAATTTATTACACCATAAAAGAAAGATGTGACCTTGCTTGTGTTATTTGTCAATATTTTTGTTATGGTTTTAATAATTTAGATTTTTATAACAAAAGTAGTATTTTTAACAGTCTTATATGTATAACTGTAAGTTAATCTTAAGTTAAATAAATTTCTATTGACTATATTCGTCAGTCGTAATTTCCTTAAGCTTGGTTAATGCCACATTATTGGTTATTGCCACGACTTAAATAACGTAACAAAGTAAACCTTAATCTTCTCATTAAGACCTTGTTATCTTTTAATTAGGATTAGAAAGGTTTTATTTCGTATCTAGCCGAAAAACGCTTACACATAAATCTCCCAAAAAGATTAACAAACTAATGAATCTTGATTTCACAGCTTGGTCCTTTAGCGTCCGAGCGATCTCATTAATAACGGCCAATCACGATAAATGTCAAAGGTTAAGTTGAGCTTTAATTAAGCTCTGTAATTTTAAGTGAATTGTGTCACATTAATTGCTTTTAATAAATCCGTATAAGTTACGGATAGACATAAGAACAAAAAATTAAATACAAAAAATAATTGTAAATTACCGTATTCGACCAATGCAATAACCATTTATCATCAAATTTGTTATATGACAATCTGTCGTGCTTAAAACCTTCATTGTAATTGTTTATCCGCATTTGAATATAAAACCATTTCCAGGCACCGCAAAGCGGGTTGGACGTTACGCAACAACGCGGTTCGTACGGCTACGGATTACGTCACATCGGAATTTAATTGACCGAAAAATGTAATTTATTTTCGGCACTGTTCAAAGCAAAACCCGCGATATAAACGAAAATTTATTGTTTTTTCCAACGTCAGCTAATTTTATTCCCCGTTGATCAACAAATCCACCCTTTTTATGCATAAGCGTAGATACATAGATTGCTGAGTGTACGAAAAATACAAATATGCAATGAAAATGTAATAGGCAATACCGTCTTCACCATAAGGGCACACGGGGCCCGTGCCCAGGGCCCCCATTTTCAGGGGGCCCCGAAGGACCGACAATGTCTACATAATATATCATATGTATTTGATCACCTATAATAAATGGTTATACTTAGTAAATTTTTTAAATTATAATTAGCTTTTTTTTACTTTCCAAAATGGCCACAAATTCTTGTGTGCCCAATGGCCCCAGCCTAGTTTAAGACGGCCCTGGTAATAGGGTTGAAAATAAATAAAATTTACAATTACAAAAATCGTTCATAAGGTTAAATATGCTATCTTATAACGTAAGACAATAAATTTTAAGCTCATATACGTATAGGTAAAAATAGTCTCTGTTGTAAATACCGTATGGACATAGGCAGTGATAGTTAGCTCCGTTGAGAGGTTGCGTGAGGTCGACACATATGCCATTATTCAAACATGGTGATGGATTACAAGCGTCCCTGTCTTCGCAGTGTGGCCCCATATATCCTGGGCAGCATTGACACTCGTAACCTTCCTATAATTGAACTGCCGACTGAGTCTATGTTAAATAACTCCTGACGATGAACATATTTTATGACTATTATACATTATATAAACAATAAGGTAACGAATAGATGAACTGACAAATGTTTGAACGATTTTGATCTAAATGATAATCGCGTTTAGCTCATGTCAGAGAAACAGGAAAACTTATTTTCGCATTGAAGGTCATAGTTTTAGGGGTTAAAAAATATACCGTACGGCAATAACCAGTTATAAGATATAGCGCTAGTTAGAAAGTTCGAATTTTGAAACTTTATTATCTCTGATTTATTAAGTTGAAGAAGCAAAGTAGCCAATTTGGACTGTCAGTACAGCCAATGTAGTTTTTAAATCTTACAAACACGAGTCTAAATAAAAAGGATACGGTATGACCTTACCATGGATATGTTTGTGTAACATACTCCTTTCCCAGAACAATCTTGAGACTCGCCACAGTTATCTGACTTGACGGTCACTTTCAAACGGACGCATTGTGACCCCCAATTCTCAGATACAACTGTAAAAATGTTATTGTCTCCTTTATGTGTCCATTATTACACGTACGGTTTGTGACACAAAGACACAATTTGAGTAATACCATCAAAACGTAATATAAGGCCATAACAACGTAAAAGAATGGCTTTCGTCACGCATAAATGCTCTTTGCCTGCGGTTTGACGTTGAAATATTCGTTTTATTCCGTTTTACTACTTGATAGCACCAAATTTACACAAGTCACGCACATTATCAAAGTTTAACTAGCGTATTCCGTACAAGAGTGAAGGAATTATAAATACGTAAATAAACCATCTCTGAGAAAGCCTCTTCAGGGGGTTTATTTTCATTAACTGGCAAAACTAGATGCCAAAACTAACCAACAAAAATTCTAACGAACAAATTTAAAAAAAAACGTAAAAGTTAGCATGAATAACAACAATACCTATTAATAAATTGACTCCTTCAGTTAAATCTTTATCGTATAGAGTGAATAGTTTCGCTGCGTGCTCATCCAAGGGAGTAATATCAAGTAACATTCCTTCTGAAACATCACAGTGCTCGTGTCCTTGTCGAGTAACCTGATATACGGCTGGCTGAAGGGCTAAGTGATGTGTCCTGAAAAACAACTCGCGTAGAAACAGAATGCTTAATGAACCCTAAAAGCTAGATATATAATGGACTTTAATAGGCTTCCCCAAAGTGGGCGGTCTGAAAGCGAATGTAGGTGATAGAGGTGAAGACTTTAAATAGATATTTTTTATTAATGTAATTTCATTTTAAAATATGTATCGATACAAGTGTAATATTTTTTACTGTTACGTGTTATTTATAGGACAAACGGTTATAATCACAATTCACATCACATTTACATCGCAATTAACTAGAGTATTGTCTGTGGGTAAACTAGCTTTTACTAGCGAGTAGCGGTAACGTTATATAGAAACCAGCATTAATTAATCACCCATCAGAACTCGAGATATTTCCCTACATTACGAGTTAAATAAAATTGTAAAAAGCACATAAGCTGGTAGTACTAATAAACGATAGCCTTTAATGAAGGTCGCATTAACTAACCTTTCGTGGGCAGGCTGCGATGAGTTCGCATCGATGGAGTCGTTGTGAACATCGAGCAACAAAGAGTCAGAGATGCGGACGATAAGGATGTCTCCACTCTGTATGTCGGCGGAGCCCTCCCAAGACACGATGACCTGAGGGCACTCCTCGTCGCCACCCCTCCCTCCTGCGCACCCCTTTGCCGCAAAGTGACACGTAATTAACGCTATATCTACATTGATTTTATATTACATACGCGACTCGCCTAGAGTAGTGAGTCCTCTCACTTGGAACGTTGAACAAATTGGAACCAAGATTTTTTTATTATTTAAGGCATTGCAAATAAATGCCTTACCTTAGGCTTTGAAAAACATATATTTTTTAAATCTGAAACAATCCTAAACTTTAAAGTAATACCTAATATAAGTAGTATTTTTAATTTCCTCGTCAAAACGCTTAAAATTCAAGCCGAATAATAATAATAATAATGTTGAAATAATTATTTGGATAAATAGAATACATACAGCATCTCCTTACACTGATTTAAGCAATAATATCAGCACACAAAACAGTTTTTGTTATTATTGTTGTTGGACATAATAATATTTTTGTAAGGATAATTATTAATTTTATGATACCATACATTTAGTTCAGTATGCCAAAAAAATTATGGGGAATATTGTGTATGTTTTCTTTTGGTAAACAGTAATTACTGAATTTTATATATCAGTCACTATGATAGGTTGTTTTTTATATATTCACGGACGCTTGGTGGAAAATATCCCCTAGACATTTGTGTGCCGTGATATCTGGTTCGTAAGTTCTCATGTCTTTTTCCTACGTGTATTTATATTTTTTATATATTCCAGAAGTATTTGATTGTCCTGATTTTATCATATATTTTATCTGTTTGAGAGTATAAAAGAACAAAATACATAATAAAATTAGTTACATCTCTGGTAAAATATTTTTCTGATAATTCTCGGTCTCGGGGCTTTTTAAATTATAATATTTACATATTTTGTAAGATTTAAATAATAACAACCAATAAAATAAAGACAGAAAAGTTTAGACAAAAGATAAATGTTTAAATAAATTCGGATTCGACACCAAGTTTTGACAATGTGTCAGAGCAAACTTTATAAATCGTTACACGATCGTTGTGTTAACGTTCATACTTTTTATAAAATCATTCTCGTTTTTTACCCGAAAACGAATTTAGATAATTTTGCATTCGTTTGAACCCTTTTCTTTAAAACTCAAGTAACCTAGCTTTTGCTAGCGATTTCATTTATTATTTTATTGATTAAGCAACAGTGTTGCTATTCTAGATTATAATATATTTCTGTACCAATTTTTTTCAGTTACGTTATGCCGTTCTTTCTTGATTGTCAACGTTATTACAGAAGAATATGATAGAATAATTAAGAACAAAGATCATAGACATTTATTCTGTTTTCTGTAGCGTAAGACAATTTATTGCTTATGTATTTGACCTCGCTCTGTTCCTTACTCTCGTCACGATCAACCTCGAGGAGAATATTATAAGCTTCGCACATGAAACGCATAACTTTATTTATTTCTCGTTGTATCCCTTTTATCACACAAACGTTTTTTTTATATAATTACATCAAAGGCATCGCTCAAGTAATCTTTTATAATAAACGCGTTAATAACAAGCCATTCATTGTTGCTGATTTATGTAATTACTATAATGCAAGCATGCCTTATTATGCAGATAAACGACAAATAAAATAAAATAAAATATAATGAGTGATAAGCGAGCATCTTATTACATATAATATTTAATTAATAGTAAATTACAAAGTATCAAAGATTGATGATACTGATAACTTTCAAATTTGTGTATGTAAAGTATTATTATTTATTGTGTATTTTTACTAAGCATGGCAATTATTTCTAACATGATTATCGAATGAAGATATCGGCTTTTAACGGATCTTGAGAAAGAGGGACATTTACAATAATATTAGATTAGGTCATCTAAAACGAATAAAATGAAACATTAAGCGTTGAGCAATATAAACTTACCGTTATAGGCAAATTCAATTCGTGTGTTTCATTCCCCCTCCATAAACGAGATTCTCTCGGCAGAACGGGCAAATCACAATCTATCGCCTCGAGGCGACTTTGAAGCGGGGCAGAGGGATCCACTGCGCTTTCTAGTGCACTAGAAATAGTTTTTAACTTTTGCCTTCTTGCACTTTTCAACCGTTTTGTGAGGGATGCTTGAGTCATTAAACGGCCTACAGGCCTCTCTGTAGCATCGTAGGCTCTTGTTGTTTTAACGCTTTCCTTTGTTGCTAAAGTAATATCAGCCGGACCTTCAGTTGGCGTTAATGGTTTAATACTATGATCAGTCAAGGGGATTAACATAGCATCGTGGATATTCAATGATACTGTAGTATCAGGCTTGGGAGCCAAGGTTGTACCGCAAGCACTAGATAGGTATGTGATTAATGCAAACACTATTGGCACCAAGGACATGTCGCGTGATGTAAAACTTCGTAAATAGATATGACTCATTGTGGAAATATAAATAACAGTAGATTTGGCACCAAGTCTTGCTTGTTATCCCTTATTCTTTTCCTGTTAAAATTAAATTATATATATTATTTAATAATACAGATTTATTTCCTTTAAGCAAGGGTAAGTTTTAATAAAGGCAAGAATTTTTCTCCTTGAAGCTATAAATAACGCAGTGCTCTTAGATCCTTAAAGATAAGGAGCACTTACGTGAAGTTTCTAAATGGTGACCTCAAAGCTCTTGTTATTTAAGTTGCAAGTACGGCCACTTTTCTGAGAAAAACTCTATAATTGGAAAAGACCCTTCCTCGTGATAAGTAGTCGCCGTTTCTTAACCAAGTGCTTTTCTAAACAATTCAGTTACATTTTCTCTAACAAAATTAAAATATATAAATTTTTCTTCACAGTTAAATAATAATGAAATGTAAAAATACAAACATATAAATTGATTGATCATTTATTAAAAATAAAGATACTATTTCAACGAAATTAATACTAATTAGCTTACTAAATTCCATTGACGTCCCACTGCTGTTATCCATGCATAAAATCACATTCATGTTACCAACGTATGTTTTGCATAAAAACAATAGATCCAATGTTGTGGGCAGCGTGCAGGGCGGGCGGTGCTAGGGCTCGCAGCCTCCGCGACACTGAGGGCGGGCGGCGCTCCCCGCCACCGGCTAGCTACCCCGAACTTGCGCACCCAACTCATTTCTACACATCTGTATTTTCACTTAATTTCATTCTGCGCTTATAATGCCAATGATTATCTTAACGCTAAGTAGCCGAAAACAAGCTTTAATTGTGCGCATTAAGGTGGATCATGGCAAAAAAAAAAAATATTTGTAAATTATTATCTATTCCTACAAATCACGCCTGTATCACGCATCATAGCTTGCACGTGGTAAACATTTATTCAGATTTCGTAGCAGGTTATAAATATTAGTGTATTTGAAGGTTGCGTATCCTTTAAACTGATAAAGTTCAAATTACATTGAACAAAAATAAAGCAATTTGTTGAAATTTTAACAAATTTACCATAATATCGAAGCGAATATTTTGGGTAGAAGTTTCGTAAAGAAAACAGTATGCTTTCGTTAGTTACTTTATTGTCGTATTACCCGCCTTTGTTAATAATTATCAGTAATTATGTAAATAACCGACTTTCAGCAATATTTGCATCGAATACAATATTCGTGGAGCGTAATTTATTTCGTAAGAGGGTGGGGTGCGGGATTTGGGTTTGGCTGGCTGCCAATCTCTTAACTGGCAACTTTTATTTCCAAATAGATCGACACCAATATTCGAAAAATTCAGTATCTCTCCCTCGAAAATCCCGATTTAAGCCCGCTTTATTGCTATAAATCAACGCTTTCGATTCAACGAAACGTAATGAAGAATATTAAAAATATCTCAGATTACATTACGTAAACTAACTTAATTCTAAAAATGCAATTGCATTATAGAAAATATAATAACGTTACCATTTAGAAATTATTCTTGTCAAATCATTATTTTTTTTTAAACAATATTACAAACAAGTACGATGGAGTTACCGTACCCGCTCCCTCGAGTAACAATTGGAAATAGTGATTAAACTATTTGTCAAATAGAAACAGATTCGAGAAATTTGTAATTGGTGAATTTAATAAGTTATTTGTTATACCAAATTATTGTCATTATAATATAAGGGTTGATAGTCGTAAATCCTGGAAATTGTATATTTACTTAGAGGTAAGGCTTGTCACTTAATTTACATTTCGTTACCATTTCGTATATGACTTTCCGTTTTTTTAATTTACTTAAATTTATTTATATGTGTTAGAAAGATCTGATTCTGTTTAATTTCGGATTGTAACTGGTCCGAATTCTTGTCTATTTTTAAAGATAAGTTTAAATGGAATCTGCTTTTATAACTAAAAGTACTTCCACTGCTTGGGTCCTTTTGTCATTTGACTCATATTTTATACTCACGCGGACAAGAATAAAAATTTAATGTCTCAAAAGACCTCGACATAGACTCGACTCGATAATATTTTTCTCATCATATTTATCTCTTCTTTTGTATCACATTGCGCATTGGCAGTGACGTGTTTAACTAAATTTTTTCCGAAACTGCAACTATATATGTGAACAGAATAACTAGCAAGTTATATCTGACACTACATTTCACACACAAATACCTATTTATTCGTTTTTAAACAGTTCCACTTGTTTGTAAGGAAAGCAGCATAACACGAACATCAACAGAGGGATCATCTACTTACAGGTACAGATATTTGAGGCCAAAAGGAAGCGTTGTAGCACTACAGTAGATGCTCACTTGTTTCTTTTTATTTTATACCGAGTAAAAATAATTCAATATAAACAACTTTACTCTGTTAGTATGTATGTATTTGCTTAAGAATTGGAACCGCGTGGAAAAATGTGTCAGTGACATAACAATGAGTATCCAACATGGTCGACATGAATAGATGTGTATTCTGAAAAGGAAATTGTGGCGTAAGGGAAAAACGTGTGTTTACTGGAGCTAACGTATATTTATTGTACTATACAATTCTTATACCTGACATAAGAAAATGCATCGTTAACTGTTTATAATGTTATTAATAAAATGTTTCCTACATCCCATTTGAGTATTTATTAAATCAATAATTCAATCCGAGTTAAGTAAAATAAAATATCCCAACAAACATGGGCAAAATTTATATAAAAAATTTCTTGCTTAATTTTTTTTATTTGGGATATTCTTACATTTTACGTCTATATTAAAATAATTGCGGCCATCTTATAAAACACGCATTGAACTGGTACAGTTATTGCCATATAAAAAGCATGGCAACAAACACGGTACTTAGGACTCCCACACAAAACTGCGATGCGATGCGAATTTCTGCGATACGATTTAGTGCGGCAAACCGTTTGGGAGGGCGACCATTCCTTCGTAGTCAGCCGTACTGGACGTGTTTTTAGGAAGCGTAAGATGGATCGCAAAAAGATTGTTGCACTGCTGTTATTGTTAAATAGATATAAAAAAAAGAAGATTCTGGGTTCATCCATTTATTACGATTATGAACTCTGATGCAAACTTTCACAGACGCTCTTCCACGCATCTTGCTTAATAAATTTATTTTTATAATTTCATCACTTGTGTCCCAAAGGACGGGACGCTCCTCAATTAAAAATATAAAAAAATCCATATCATATTCCGCAATTTTTTAAAAACAAAGAAGGCGGCGGAGGCGCCGCGCATCTTTCTCTAAAGCTGTCTCAGAGCGGACTAAAATGGCGTCACCAAGGATGACGTAATATCGCAAGAATTTGCGATGCGAAGCAGATCGGAACTTCTTGCGGTGCGTTCGTGCGAATTCGCAGATATTTGCGATGCGATGCGAATTCGCAGTTTTGTGTGGGAGCCCTAACTGTCCAACTCTAGGGTAGTACATGCTAAAGTTTTTTGGAAAATTCCAGTGACAGTAGATGCTCATTGATGCGCCCACAATGCGCATTTCTTATATAAGAAACCAAACAAGGAAGTGACTTCGAAGAAATTAAAAAGGTTCTAGGTTAGATGAAAGCCAAGGATTCCTACGAGGTCTAATTTATACTTTGATTTTACATTTTCCATCATTAAAAGATAATATTTTCATGTAAATAATTTATTCACTGTATAATCATTATTGACATATTTGTTATTTAAAAGAAATACTGATACTTGACATATAAATCTACATAATTACTGTAAATCGCTCTTCGGAACATTTAAAGTAGTCGCATCGGTTTTGTGATATTCCTGAAACAAAAGTACACAAGTTTTATTATTTTATTTAGGTATAATCAGAATTAGTTAGTAGTAAATAGTACGGAAATTGAACAATATGGGGAAAGTAAAAACGTTTACCTGTTTAATTATCTTTATTATCAATTATTATAATTTTGTTTTAAGAATCTCCTAATATTTGTGTAATATAATATGCCCAAGTGTATTTTTGTCTGGTACTGTGACTAGACACGTATGCAACGTGCCCACAGTAATTTTAATGCCATTTTGTTATTAAATATTTTTTATTATAACGATACTAGGTCAATATTTTTTGGACCACCTAACTTGTTAATGACTACTACAAGTTTTTCACGGTTAAAAAAAAATTAAATCCTATCCTGACCCACCCGAAATTAATTCAAATTAAATAAATTATTTTCCAATTAATCACATAACGTTATATCGGAATGAAAATGTATAACCCCATATTTATATTGCAATGTACTAGTATTTGAATTACTAGACATTTTTAAAATAATTTAATTATATTAAGACAAATACCATGCTGACGAGACCGACCTTTCGTTCTTCAATATAACTAATATAGATAAGTTAAATTATATAATAGTAGAGAATCCCGAGGGCTGCTTGTATAGGGTGTCTCAGTAAGAATGCACTTTTTAAAATTGTAATATTTTTGTTTTCCTGCAAGTGACAACTCTGAAATTTGACAGCAGTCACGTCTGTTTATTCCGATTATTAAAAATGCAGCGCTTTTTGAAAGGACAACTCGTTATAATTGTGAAAACTCATTACAAAAGTAACGATAAAAACGCTCGCAAACTTCACCAAATTTTCAGCCGAGAAAGTGCACCTAATGTGTCAACCATTCGAAGAGCGGTCAAAAATTTTTAAGAAACTGGGTCAATTATGGATAATAAGAATCTTTTGCGTCAACGTACCGGTCTGTCCCTTGAAAACATTGCTGCTGTAAACGAGAGTGTCGCCGAATACCCGAAAACATCAATTCGACGCAGCAAATTTTGACTAAAGACCTTCATGCGTACAAGATTCAGTTAACTCAGGAGCTCAAACCAGCAGACCAAGGAAAGCACCGGCAATTTTCTCAATGAGTAATGGAGCAAAGGGAAGTCAATTTTTCGAAAAAAGTCATTTTCTCCGATAAACAAAACACGTAAGATAATCTTACGAAATTCTGATGTCAACTGGCCACCAAAATCGTGCGATTTAACGCCGTGCGATTTTTTGTTTGGGGTTTTGTGAAATCTCGAGTTTATACGAATAAACCCGAAACCATTCCTGAGCTCAAATCAGAAATCCAACGCGTCATCGGTGAGATACAGCCACATCTCTGTGCAAAAGTCATGGAAAATTTAATGAAAAGTGTAATGGCCTATCGTCGGAGCCGTGGAGGTCATTTGCCGGATATTTTATTCCATACTTAATCGGAACATGTCTTCTTTACAATACAATAAAAATATCAGAACTCTGTCATAAAATACTTGTCTTTATTTAAAAATGAAAAAGTGCACTCTTACTGAGACATTCCCATTAACTGACAATTACTAAACTAAGAAAAATCTAAGTAAGCAGTAATGTATTGCATAAATAAATACAAGTTATATCAAATATATTTACATAAAAAATACCTGAGATGCTTGCTGTACGGAGTAGCAGTCATTCATTTGAACTGTCATTTTGTCAGGGTGTGCACGCAAGCGATGCGAGCGTAACGTAGACGCGTACGCGAATCGCTCATCGCACCATTTACACGATAGAGGCTTATCGCCCGTATGCATTGCTAGGTGTACCTGTTATCAAAGAACAATATTTTACTGAAATTTATTATTTATTGAAGCGTTTATCCATATCAAAGGAACACGGGAGTATAGACTTGTATGGTTTTAAAAAACTATGATGTCAGAGTACATATTAACTAAAATTAATGAGGCGGGGGGCAGACATAATTATGTTTCATTAGCCGTTTTCTTTAAGAAAATAGGCGTTCTGAGCCTGACACATGTCGATTTAAGAAGATATGCCCCACTTCTTTATTCTGAACGAAGAAATATTACTAGTTATATCCCTAAAATGTCAGGAGTAATATGATCGTAGGTGAACGAGTAACATTTTCTAAAAAAAAAAATATCCGGCCTAACAGAACGCCCAAGCATTAAGATGGACACATTTCCACGAAACACAATATCTGTCATTGTTAATTATGTATCAATCAAAAAAATATTTTCTGTTTGTCTAAGGCGCGAAACATACAGAAAAGGAGTAAGGTGAAGGCGCGGCGCAGGCGCAGAGCCGGCGTGGAACAGATAAGGCACGGATGCGACTTAAATTATATCTAAGAGGCGAAGAGACAGCACAAAGAGTCATTACGCAGGCTGACTTTATCGCGATAGCATGTCTTCCTCTTCAGATGACGAAGATGCGAAATTCCACTCTAGTCGCGACTGCTAGCGACGCGGAACAGGCGACGAAACGCCGCGCCTTCACCTTACGCCTTTTCTGTGTGTTTCGCGCCTTATAACAAATATTTCTAAAAACAAACATCATACCTTCAAAGTCTGTCGTCGTTTGAACGCCTTATTGCAATAGTTGCAGACATGCGAACACTTCTCATCGTGGACTAGGAGATGTTTCCTTAGCGTCCGTCGACTGTTAAGTACGCGACTGCATACGAAGCATACATACGATGTCTCTTCGTGTGTGTCCATATGTGTCTTTAAATTCGAGTACGTTTTGAAGCTGTAAATTTAATTTAAAAATATTTTAATTGACGCCGATATGAATGTGAAGTGAAAACTAATTTTGTTCTGTAATTATTTCATCCGCCTCGAACTCAGGGTGGTCCTGATCCGACTCGGAAGAAAAGCTGTTCTTTGGTATCTTCTAATAACCTAACTTACACACAACTTAACTTATTTTACTTTAACGTGACTAACTTTCACACAATTACGGATTTTATAATAATTAGAAAAATATTTATTTATTTAAGATGCTATTTTTTACATGATTTCATGTGCATTTCCCACATTAAGCACTTATAATTTAATAGTATTCAATAAAGATTTAAAATTGACACTATATATTTTTAAAAATCACAAGTTAACTTACGCTTTAGAACACTTCCGACATGTGTAAGGTTTATCGTCACTATGTATGGCGCGGTGTTGCCTCAATTCACCATTAGTACCACACGCATATCCACACTGATCGCATACATAGCTCTTAATCTTCTCATGGACTATACGCTTGTGAGATACTGCCGATGAACGAGTGGTGAATCTGTAAACAAATTTTATAAACATAAATAAAACCTCAAGTAAATTTGATTACATTACGCAACTCGACGTCTCGAGTCTCTCGCTGACCACGTTTGCTGAAATGAAATGTCGATTGATGTAAATTATGTCTTAAATTAGCGTTTATATTTGTTAAAGAAGAGTTATTTAAAAGTGTAATGACATAAATGTGTTTACAGTGTTTGCCAAGGGGGTTCAGCGTGCGTCTCTCATCCCTAATCGATTCGATTCCCGGCTGTGCACCAATGGACTTTCTCAGTGTGCATCTAATACTTGTCGTACGGTGTAGGAAAACATCGTGAGGAAACCGGCATGTCTCTGGCTGTCAGATGAAGTCAGGTGTCAGCGTGGAATTAGTTTACGTAAAGCTGAGTAGGACCAACTTTGGGTTAAAATGAAGCTTATTTATGTATTTTTCTTTATTAAAATAAATATTTAAATTTCATTTTTTCAATTTATTTTATAAATATTTTTATTATATATATAACAAATATAGCCTTAGAGATAATGTAGCAATCTATTATTCTATCATTTTGAGTTTAAATGCTACAAACACACAAAAATGCAATTCTTCTTCTTTATAGGTTAAGGGTAAATAATAAATACATGAGACGTCACGAGCAGTGTTGGCTTAAGCGACCCTAAGGTCTTTCATTTCTCTCTCCTTCTTCTTTAATCCTATTGTAAAAGCAAACATCGTGAGGAAAGTGGTGTCTGAAAACTCAAAAATATATGACACGTGTCAGACACACAAGGCAGTGATCACTTCTATAAAAAAATCAATGAAACGGATGCAATCTACGGCCAAAATCTATGTTGATAGGGTTGTAGCGCTATCGTATATTTATCTATCTTTGTATGTATATAAATGATGTTCGTTTGTCTCACTTAAACTCTAGAATGACTGGGCTGATTTAGCTGATTATAATCTTGAAATATTTGTGGAAGTTCAGGGAAGGTTTAAACGGTGGGAAACATAATTAATAAGTAAAGAAAAATACTAAAAACGATTACTACTACAATTGAACTGAATTTCCCATAAACACTGTTCCTAGCTCGGAAATATTTGATGTCTTTTGTCTTTTTTAGAAATAAAAAATTGACACTTGGTTGTCATATATTTATTTCAGAAATGTGTGTTTTGTGCTGTAGCCCGATGTCTTTCGTCTGATTAAAAATTTTGTATAACTTTTGACATGAATAATAAATAATATCAATCATCTTACATCATCATCTACTTACATAATAAAAACATGACACTTACTTTTCGTTACAAACATCACATTCATATATTTTCCTCTGCTCTATCGGTACATGTGATCTTTCGTGGGATTTGACTAGATCTTTTGATGTAAACACTTTATCACATGAAGAACACGGGAAGGTTCTTTCGGACTTCGGTATATGCCTTAACTTATGTCTTTGAAGTTCCTCCATTGTTTTCGCTGTTTTTGGACATTGGTCACAGCTAAAATATTTTATTATTTTCGTCAAACAAAAGTTGAATATAACCTCATTTATATAAAAAAAATGAATCATTCAAAATGAACCGTTTTTAGGAAGACGCTTAAAGAACAAAAAAAAACACACAGTCAATGAAACATATATCACGATCATTTCTAAGTTATGTATGTTTCGCTAAGAAAGGAAGTGTTATGTGATTCAAGGATACATCTTTTGGAAGAGTGTAGACCACAGACATTTAAATCCATTCACGAGATTAGAAGTAGTTTTGTTTGAACATGATGGAATATGTGTTTGAAAGGAATAAAAGATATAGGGTTTTACAAGTTAATAAATAAAATACTTACTGTAATGCATCTGGACTCTTGTGGTCCTGAATATGTTTGTACATAACTGTTCTTGAATTAAGTGAAATGCCACAACTACAATGAACTATAGGTGTCGCTTTATGCTTCCACATACAATGTGTATTTAACTTATACCAACTAGAAAAGTCTAGATTACATTCTTCACAATTAAACCTGTAACATGATGTTTTCTATACATTTAAATAATAATGATTGCTAAAAGCATTGAAGCAGTAGGTATTTATGTTTTATTTGCGTACACTAAAGACAATAATATAATATCATGTAGGAAAAAACTTTAGAAAATAAAATATTTAAAAATGCTTTATTTTTGTTCAAAAGATATTTTAATTCATTAGGTCATAATTTGCTGTAGGTACGCAATAAAGTATTAAAGACATCTTGTTTAAAAAGTTTCCGGGTGATGATGGATGGATGATGGTGATAAAATATTTTCCATTTCAACTTTATGTACATATCTAAGATACTTTAAAAAGTAAATTCTCATATTATGATTTAAAGAATATTTTTGAAACTTTATGCAATTAGGTTAAATTACAAGGCTAATCAAGCCGGTTGCAGACCGACAACTAAGCTATGCCAAGGCTTAACTAAGCTATGCCAAGCAAGCTAGGCTAAGCTAAGCTAGAAATAAATAGCGTGCACACCAACAGCTAAGCCAAAGCTCAGTCAGTGTGGCGAAGGATGTGCAAAGGGTGTGCGGGGTAGCGGAAGGGGCTTAGCCTAGCTCGTGTAGCTACGCATCGGCATACACAACTAACTTAGTTAGCTCACATACCTTAGTTCGCATAGTTTTCGGTCTGCACACAAGTATGGAAAACTGCGTCAGCTATGCGAGCTAAGCTAAACTAACTTAGCTTAGCTCTTGGTCTGCAACCCGTATTATACATAGATAGAGTCTGTGCGGAAAGAGCACATTTATGTAAATAAATTAAATAAAGCGTAGCACCACAATTATATTAGTTGGCGTGAGCACCGGTTGCCTTTCCACGCAGACTCAATGCATGTATATACTTTTTTTAACTTTCACGTGTTTTGTCACCCAAGTCAAACAAAAGGAAAATTTCAAAAAAAAAAAATATCCTGTACTGTCTAATGTATCTCTAACCAATATAGCCTTTTCTTTTGTAAATATTAAAACTTTGGACAAACCTAATTAGATCTGTGACTTTAATTGAATTCCGATTGGCGGATTTCCTTGAACCTCGTCGTGGTCGAGATTTATGTTCAGCTACGTGCCTGTAGATGGCACTCTTTGAAGTCAAGACAAAGCCACATATACAAAATGTATACACTTTTTTCTGGTGAACAGTATAATAGTGACTACGCAACGATTCCCATGAGTGCACACGTTTCGGACACTCTGCACAAGACATTCTGGAAGTATGTTATCTTACAAAATAATTGAATCTTTACAATATGTATATTAAAATTTAAATAATGAAATAATTAGCGTCACATAATACATGTTTATATTGGTTCTTACAATGGCCATAGCAAAATTTATTAGCAACTGTATAAATGTAATTCAACTCTTATAATATAAAAATATTTTAAGAGAAAAACTTAAGATATTCTTATTGTTGTTAAGCATAAAGATCTTGATAAGATTTGTAATGGACCTGCATTCTGTACTGAGCATTAGCACTAGGGTTGAAACTACTTCTGTTCCACAGAACAGAACTGAACAGAAGTATTTTCTGTTCAGTTCTGAGAGTCACCAACTAAAGCACATACTGACACTTACTTAACAAAATTCTTCAGTTTGGCTCTTGGATCCTTAAGAAGTTTTTCTAGTTCTTCCCTATCTTTATCAGTCATTTCTCTTGGTTTGATACCTGAAGCTTGCTTAACCTTGGTTTCCTTTAAAGATGCAAGTGTAACACCATCACTAGTATCACTATCACATTCATTGTTGTCATTATCATAGTCCATATTGTCATCATCAACATCAGAGTAGCTTGCTTCATTATTAAGAGTGGCTGCAATAATTTTTTTATTTGTGAACTATTTAAAATAAAGAGTTAAAGCAATATTTGTATATATTACAATAGGTAACTTATAGAAATATCTTTTATTTTTATTTTTTAGTTTCACTGTAAATTCACTTATTCCATGGATTATAATAACATGCCTGTTTAAATACCCCTAGTAAAAAAATATTTTTCATAATAAAAACAATGCTTGTTTGATGTTTATAAAGGTGGCAACTGACGCAAGTTACGAGGTGTAATGTAACACGTTACACAGCGAGCATTCGTGCAGTCAGTACGTCGTGTTACGGGGAAACCAGCGAGCAACGAGCCTCTCGTTGCTCGCTTTGAGTGCGCCACCCGGCTGTCGGTTTTTTGACGAATCCTTTGAGTCTTTCGCGGTTCAGTCAGTACGCGTCGCACGTCGCGAGTGATCATGATTATGATTATCTATAATTTGTGTCTTTACTTAATATTTTTGGTTCAATTAAATTCAACAGTTCTTCAAAATCAATCGGAAATATGCGTACAAAGTTTTTATACTGTCCAGTAATCATATGGTTTTTAAAAATTGCTATCAATGACATACCACCACATAAGCCTCTGTTTTTAAATAAGTTTGATATCCGTAACGTTTTTTCTTCTTCTTAATTTGGATGAAACAATAATTAAGTAGAATCAAAGATACCAACGCGTCCTCGCTGTCGGCCATCTCGTGGACACTGGCGGCGAAAGCGGAGCACAGAGTTTTGACATGCTCGATGCGAATGCTACATTACACCTCGTAACTTTGGTCAGTTCCCACCTTAAGACATGACAGTTACTTGTGAGACAATAACATTAACTGCAGTTAGAAGCAGAGAAGTGAATTGTCTCCAATTAACTGGTTTAATTACCAGCTATGAAACCTATAGTTTAAAAAACTATAATTTAGAAAAGAGACAAGTTGCCCAATTGATAAATTTGAAGACTTCAAACATTATTTTATTTGTTTTAAATTTTGAGTAAGTTTCAAACTTCAAACATTTATCTGTACATATGTTAAAATGTATTGAGAAGATTATTATTATTTTTAGTAAAACAAGAAAAGCTTACCTACTATTTCATCCATTTCAACTTTAACCTGGAAAATATTGTATGTTTGTTATAGAATTGTTAAGGTTTTTCAAATCTATAAAGGCTTATTGTTTATAAATTTTAAAATAAGAACTGAACACAATATAACAATTGTGAGATAAATTAAAAAATATATTGTAGGATAGTTAAACATTTATTACTAATTTTTTCTTACCTCTGATTTAATTTTAGTTATTCTATAATTTAAATCATCATTTAGCTTAAGTTCAAGCTTTTCATCTTCCTTTGCACACATATTTTGTAAATTTTCTTGAACTTTATAACATTCCAAAACAAATAATTGAAATGATATCATTTTTTCTTCACAATTTAGGCAAATTTTTGTAGGAAGTGTGTCATCTTCAGATATCTAAGTAAAGGAATTATTTATTCAAAAACAAGTAAATTATAATGAATACATTTCTGATTTCAGCTTCTGTGTGAGCTAAAAAAATATCTGCATTTTAATTTTATAACATTACTTACGGTTATTTGTATGAATTCTTGTATAATTTTCAGTATATTTTTATTATTTTCTTCGCTTAAATCTTTTAAAACATGATCCTTATTCGCACAGAGGCGACATATTTTTTTTACATCTATAGCCATGGTTATCAAATGCCGAAATCTCGTATCTTAATTCTTAGCTTAAATAAAAGCTTAGCTCATAATATGAACGATGCATTTCATAAAAAAATGATTTTATATTTACTACTAAATATAACCAAAGTAAAACAAAACTAATGATAAATTTAAAAATAATAAATTCACAACAAACTTTGTAGAGTACCAAATTCAGAAACAGATATCATAGTTCATACGACTGACAGTTGACACTTGTCAGCAATGAGCATAGATTATAATATGAAAAATAGAGGAAATGTTAAAATATTTCTTAAATTATAAAAAAAATTTAGTAGTCTGTTCATCCATAAACGATTTTTTTTTTTTATAATACGCTGTGGTTTTATCTGGCGCTTTTTGTCAACTTTGTAATCTGTTTCACAAATAATGGCTTCCAAAACTTTAAACGATTACAAGTTTAACGTAAATACAAAGCTTTATGGTACATTATTTTCCTAAGTTCTGTAAATTTAAACGATTAAGACGATTAAATGTTGCAAGTTGTGGTTTACAAAATGAAGGTAAATTTATATTAACAAATTCTTAAAAGAACAATTATGTTTACAAGACATAACTAATAGGAGACGAAGCCATAGGGGATTAAATGTTGAATTGAAAGATGGATATTCATCCAGAACTTGTTGAGCCCCTGTCACCTAGAATATCTTACAATAACAGCAGTAGTTACTGGAAAAGTGAGGATAGTGGCTATCATACATCTTTTACCCCTGGCTCACTAGAATGCTCTGAAGTATCTAACGATAGTATCAACTCCACTTTCATTAAAGGACGGATATGTTTCAGAAGTCCTTATCAGGTAGACTATTTCAATATATCTCCTGATGACCTTGTATCACATGCCAACATTGCAGCTTGTATTAGAAATAATGATTCTTTTAAAGATTCTCCTAAAGGTCGAAGAGGCATTAAGAGGACGTTTCCTGATGAGTTAGAGAACATTGATATCCCATATAATTCCATACCTACTCCAACAACCTTAATAGCTGGTGGCTTGAGAAAACTAAAATTTAATGATACTAAACCAAAAGCATCTAAGAGCTTAGGTCACACAGATGATTTACATGAATTTTACAATCTTCATGAAAAAGTTCATACTTTTCCATCCACTCCAATAAAGAAAAGTTGTAGAACAAATTGTCACTTAAACAGTCCAACAAGCTTGAAGAGACCAGCAAAGAAGTTAAACTTTGCTATCCATTCACTCTCATGTGAAGCCAAAGGATTGCAACCTGTGACTAAAGTTACTAAGTCAAAGGCAGTGAAATCTATTCAATTTAGACCTGAACAGAAAATTGATATTATTAAGATGTTGTATGAGAAGGTCAATATGAGACCTCCATTAATGAAGATATTTAGTTACTTATCTAATGAGGACATTTTTAATTTCACCTTAGTTAGCCCATTGTGGCTAACAGTCTGGGAAAATATAAGTAAAACAAGTAAACTGTTGGAGTACAGAACATTTCTCAAAAATGTAGAGGAGAATGTAGAAAACAGAGATGTTGCACCAAAAATTCTTGGATCACACCAGAAAAAGCCACTTTCAGAAACAAATAATATTATAGTTTCAAAAACTCGACCAGCTAGTCCACCAGATACACCAAGGACTATTAAGTTCAAGAGATTTACAAAGGTGAGGTGTTTAAATGCACACTGTAAAGTTCATGGACCTAATACATTAGTAGTAAAAATAAACCTTAAGTTACATTGTTTTAGCAGTTTTAATGATGGATACAGAGAATTACTGTTGGTGTTTTACTAACCACTTTTAATGTTTATATTATTTCTCTGACAATTGTTAGTAAGGTAATAATTAAATTTCGAGCTAGCTCTAGCATGTGAAGTGGAGTGTTATTTGATATGGCTGAATAAATGTTTCTTTTTGTTCTAATTTATTATGCATATTTACAGGCTGCATCACTGGATCTACGAAAACAATTGTCTTGTGTGAGATGCCATCAACCTGCCAAGGTAACGGAAGAAAGCTCTGGAGAAGAATGGGTGGAATGTACAAGTGTAACTTGTTCTTACCAGTATTGTAAGTTCTGTAAATGTGACAGACATCCAGGTAAGAAATGCTTTAAATATGATTTGGATGGCCCTAGCCCTTCTAAACGGAAGAAAAATACTTATGCTATCGGCACCAAGAAGAGCCGAAAAAATCTGAGGCGACTGTTGTGACTTAAGTATAAGTATGAAGTATCCCAGTGATTTGTTATTATCATTGCATTCCATGTCCAAAGATTGTTGATTTACAAAATCATTTTTAAGAGATTAGGGTTTTTTTTTGAAGTACATAGAGTTATCTAGGGTCTGATTTAGTGCCATTTTTATTGAAGTAGGATATAACGGCATTTTATTTACCTCATAATTTACTTTAATGTTTTAAAATGGCTGCATTTGAATGGTCTATGTAGGATACCATGGCGGTTTTGTTTTATTGTAATTTTTGGGACCAACATCTAAGATAGCAAGTAAAGCAAATGATACATTTGTGCTTTACAAAAGAATACATTTTACTAGTTTTAAAATTTGAAGTTAATTTAATGACAGACTGATAGATTTGCCATAAATGGTTAGTTTTAAGTTTTGTAAATAAATTAGTATTAGGATTTTTATGGTTATTCCAATTAGCAATATTTTTTGTTTGTCTCAAAAGCATTTAAGACTAGTTCAAACCACTAGCTGACAATGTACAAGTGTTCCTGTGATATTCCATCAACTATTTTAACATATTAAAATATTTAAAATTCTCAACACATTAAAACTAGTAAACTGGTAATATAATTATTACCGACTAAGGCAAAATATAAAATAAAATTGCTTAAAATTCCTCAATGTTTTAGTAACTCACAATTTTTAATACCACCTGAAGATAGAAGAAATTTTGTTTTATAGTTGCCTTGATACAGTCAGACCTAAATACCCTGAGACTGTTTTCGCCATTTTAGTTATGTAGCATACTCATTAGAATAAGTTTTTAATTTGCTTCAATTGGTTTAAAAACATCACTCCTTTACTTTAAAAATGTGAAATTTTTTATGTGGAGGTGTTCTATGTTACAACTTAGTTAAGACAATTTACTATTACGTCTTGATAGATTGAATTACTTATGATTTCCATGACATTATATTAATAAATGCAGATACATTATTCGCTACGTATCCCGTAGCCATTGTAATTTTTATAACAAAAAGCCTTTTTAATTTTATTAACATTCTTATAAAATACTCTTTTCTAGTCTTATCAATTTAAAATAGCCATAACTTATATTCTGTGTTAAACTTAATACACCTAATCACATCAAATAATTAGTCATTTTAATTGGACATCACATACAATTTTTAAAATACTCAATGACACAATTATTAGCATACATTCTTAGTTAGAATTTGGTACACTGTGCATTTAAATACCTTAAACTATAATTATTATTTCGAAAATATTTTTATAATTGAATTGGTGTCGCCTTCTACAGTTTACCGTTAAGAGGAGGTCCCTTTCTTGCTCGAAATTAAACGCGTACGAAGTAAGACGCTAACGGTTTTTTAGTATTGAATTTCTCATGTTATAATTAAATACCTGTAAACTTATTAATATCCCATTGTGTAAAGTTTTTTTATGAATATTTGGGAGTAAACTTGATTATAGATAAAGATAAAAATTATTTCTGATTAGATTTAATCATAAAACAATAATTTTCTTTGTCTGAAAGTTTTAAATATTTATCCAACCGGCATTGAATATTGCATTCTTTTTGATCTAATTAAGCGATCTGAGAAACAGGTTTTGGAGGCCTTACGAAACTTTATATATATATACCTGCCTTTATAACATGCCAACCTGCACAATTGGTAGTCATAGTCCTTAATTTTGAAGTATTTGTAATGGTAATGTAATATAATATATCCTAGTTAGTCAATTGTGCTAATCGTAATCCCAGTGTTAATCGTAATACCACTAGGGTTAACAGTTGAGAGGTTTTTGTTCATGTATTCGGTTTTAATACAAATATTTAATTATCAATGACTTTAAAATATACGAGAATTAGATGACGCTGTACTAGTTACACAACATTAATTTATATCTAGAAGCCATATTTTATTTGATTGGTGATGAATATTTGACACTCGAAAAGGCCTAGACCTAGTAGAACCTCACCTTGACTCGATATTATACCCAGGCTCAGCTATAGAAATGTAATTTTTTACCACCGAAAGAATTATTTATTTCCAATTGTGCAAGAAGCTTCACTTATGTACATTATGTTGAATTTTGCCAGTTTTTTTTCTTTCTTTTTGTATGTACAATACTATTGTGACATCTATAAGGTTTTACGAATCCCGTCTTCACAGGCCAGACAATGATTAATTACTTTAAAAAGTAAACATTATCTTATTTATTTGTAAATAATTCTTTCATTTTAATGATTACGTTTAGTTTTAATTTGATATTTTGATTGATTTCTCTAATAATTTTATCTTGATTCAGTAGGAAGTCTACGTATACTTTGTTGCCCTAGTATTTGTAGTGATTAATGTAAATATTGTTTTAATGTGATTTCTGAATGATTTACTTGAAATGCTCTCTTTCTTAATAAAAGTATAAAAATTGTGTTTGTTTTTATTTTACTAAGTAAAACCACATATAAAAACAAAAAATTTAATTACAACATTTACAGATGATATGTACAAATAGACGCTTAGCATACTAAACTATTACTAAATGTGACCACCGGTAAGAGATGGCATTTATATACTAATATAAAATTTAACATGAAATATACCTAAGAAAGGCACCAAAGTGTTAAAGCTGTAATGATTAATACTAAAAAGTAATTGGTCGGCGGACCTTTAAATAGTATAAATATTTGTTAACAAAGAAATGTGTCCGGTGGTTACAATTGACTCGTATGTTTATTATTAACCGAGCCCCATCACAAACTTTGGTATCTGGTAGGCCACTTGAGGTATTTGCATGAGCATCGACATTCTGAAAAAAATTAACATAACAATAAAATACCTATGTGGTGGTATATGAATGCCAAGAACGTAATAACTAATACGTCAAGGAATGTCGGGAGTTCGTAAGTTAGAAACATTGAAATTCTATTGATCATAAATAATTTGAAATTTACATATAAGTATTATCTGGAATTGAAGGAGCATAAAAAATTAGGGTTCTATTTTAAGAATGTTTGATCATTTTTTAAAAAAATGTAATACTTTTGGTAATTTTTCACATGCAAGTGGACATTGAAACTAAACTGATAGTTGTTATTGTTGCACAGGTGTGGACACTCTGTTTTTTCGATTACTAAAAAAATGAACGCTTAGGTTTGTGAAAGAACAACTCGTTAGGTAATCGTGGAAGACTCAGTTTGAGACAAAAAGTAACGCTGACACGCTCCCAAACCTGCAGTAACCAAATTATCAAGCCGGATAGTAAGAAATCCTGTCGCAAACGAAGTTGATGGATTGTCAGATGGGTGCCAGTTGGAAGAACGGTCAAAAAAGGTTTTGAAGAAGATCTGGGTCAATCAGGTATGGATAATAAGAGCACTTCCTTAATGCGTCGACGTACCGGTCGGTTAAGGCTTGAAAACATTGCTGCTGTAAACGAGGTAGTTCGCCGAATACCAGACACCATCAATTCGACTTAGCAAAATTTTCGATACTAAGAGACGTTCAATCAAACAAGATTTCAGTTTACTCAGGAGTTCTGAAACCAGCAGAATAAAGCCAAGGGCACCATGGACATTTCCTCAATGAGTAATGTTTGGTTGGGAGCAATACGGGCGAAGTGATGCTAATTTTTTCGAAAAGAGTCAAAACCTGTTCTACGATGTACCAAGAAGACGGTTTTGTATCGCCTTTCAAAGACATGTCGAGCACCCATTTGCGGGACTGATGTCAACTCGTTTTCCAGCAAGACTCTGCGTCTGCAATTCAACGCCATGACGACTTGGTCTTTGGGGGTTTGGGTGAAATCATCGTAGTTTATGCGAATAAGCCCTAAACCATTCCTGACCTCAAATCCTTTGGAAGAAATCATACAGGCGTGAGGACGGTAAGATACAGCCTCATAAACTCTGTGAGAAAAGTCATAAAGGAAAATGTGATGAATCGACGCGAAATGTGCGTGCTGTGATAGACGACTGGCCGTGGCAAGGGCCTGTATTAAAAATGCGGGAGGTTATTTCGAATATTTTTATACTTTTTAATCCGGAATTAATTCTTCTTGACAATCACAATAAAAATATCAGAACTCTGTTTTTACATTATTTCCTTTATTGACAGAACTTGACTACGTAAAAAATTGCACTTTATGCTAGACATTAAATCCTTTATATACAAATTACAAATACAACTGCATAGTAGAGTACAAGCATTTAATTAACTTAATATTTCTACCTACCGCCACCTGTGCTTGAGTGCCACCGTCAACCATTTAGTTATGCAGTAAAATTAAATTTGTATAACTTAAATTACTGAAACTTACTTTTATTTCTCAAAAAAATCATCATTTTTATAGAAAAACACTCCTGAGATTAAGGCTAAGGATTAAGTAATCAAACCAACCTCGTATATTGCATCTGAAAACCACCACCGCTAAACTTGCTCTACACTTGGTCTGTGAGATAGAAAAGTTTATTAGTAAATAGAGTTTTTATAACCACTCTCGTGTCCCGATTGTGTTGCACTTAGAAGGTCATAAGTATACTTTTTTTAGTGTCTTATAGCTCCCTGAATTATCACTATAATATGTATATTAAATATTATGTATTTAAAGAACGGTACAATTCAATTTAAGGAAACATACGCAAACGAAATGCCTCTTTCGATTGTATCTGTTTAACTTTCAAATATCTACTTAAAATAAATAAGTTTTCTTTATTTAAATTACCGCACAACCTTAAAGTATACAACCAATGTGATAGTGTTAAAAATTGTTAAGCGGTTGTTATGAAAAAAAAATAGAAAAAAAATCAGTGGCGCTACAACCTTTTTAGGCAACTAGGTGATCAGCCTGCCTGACACACACCGTCGACTTTTTGGGTCTAACGCAAGCCGGCTTCCTCACGATGTTTTCCTTCAACGTTCGAACGAATGTTAAATGCTTACATAGACAGAAAGTCCATTAGTGCACAGCCGGGGATCGAAACTATGTCCTCGGGGATAAAAGTCGCACGCTGAAGCCACTAGACCAACAATGCTCGCAAACTCCCCTAAATTTTAATTAAGTACGTAACAAGCAAGCTTTTTCCTACTTCAATTTCTGTCCTTTTATCTTATATTGATGTATATAGAATTTTAGCCAGTTTCATTTTTCATAACAATATAAAATTATAACCATTTATGTACTTATATACTAAATTTATCTGATCCTTTTCCAAATTCCGCCTCAATTTCTAATCCAATAAAATAAATCTAATAACGCACTTCCTAACTTTTTTGCATGGCTGACGCACAAACCGTGCAGGCCAAGAAAGGGAAAAAAAACAAGCAAGCTGTAAGTTACATCTGATTACCGGCTTTCGTTTCCAGCCATCTCCAAGAGAAGCTAAAAAATTACTTAGTTCGGCTGTCAGTCAGCTAATTTGTGAATTGTTTTTATACTTTGTGCTTAAGTGTATTTACAAAAACCATTACTAGGTGCAGTAACGTCAAAAAGCGCCTATTTGGGCCACAGATGATTTGACGTAGTAGTCAAACAGAATTAACGCTCATCTGTAACCTAAAATAATTACCTACCACCAGCAACTTATACTAGGTGCAAAATATGTACAGATCGATAAAGCAATACGATAAAAGCGAATGAGTCGAAGTGCATAACAACTCACGAGACGGACAGGCCATTGTAGAACCAGGCGCGCCAAGTCTGGGGAGTCGGAGAGGCCCCATCTATTCTTGCTTCAATGTTAACGCACAACGCGCGTCTGTCATGGGAACGGCCGGAGCGTGCGTCGCATATCAACCGCTTTCTACATTCCCCATCGCATATGCCACGACGCGGACTGTTTTTCCAGTAATGTCTGGAAGAAATTAATATGTACTCTCTGGCGCAAGTCTCAAGTAACTAAGAATTATTTTTATTGTACTATATAAAGAAAATAACAAACATAAGTAGTTGTTTCAATATTCTTTACCTAAATAAGAGCTATTCTATAATATTCTGTGTTAATTCAATAACCGTTACTCTGGGACCATTCAAATTAAAAAAAAACCTGAACTCAGCTTAGAGTTTAGGCGCTTGTTTTCTTAACTTTAAATTATTCTGTTTTGGAGAACAGTTTTTTTTTATTCAAATGACATTTTAGGACGTGAAGTCTAATTTTCAAAAGCTAGTGATAAATAACAAAATTATAAACTACTTGCTGACCCGGCAAACGTTGTTTTGCCATGTAAAACATTTTATTAGTTCAATAAAAATAACTATCTACTATACTAAAAAATAGGGGTTGACGGTATACGAGTATAGCGGAGTGCGTTCCGCTCGCAGTGGAAGGCGGGCATTAGACTTACTAAATATGCATAAAAAATTTAATAAGAATCGGTAGAGCCGTTTCGGAGGAGTATGGGAACGAACATTGTAACACGAGAATTTTATATATTAGATGGCAATACATTACTATCCAGTAAATTTTAGACAATGTTTACTTTATTGTCACTAGAGATACCTACATATTGTAATACGGGATTAACACAAAAAAATTCTCATTCTCTGCTAGATTTTGCTACTTACTTATGATATAAATTAAATAAGTCTTCCTTCTCAGTCATATTATCTATGAATCTGTCCCAGTCGTCGGGTCGTAGCGCAGACATCATGTACGCAGACCGAGCCGAATACAATTTATACCAAATGGGATATCCAAACAAATTTGCTTCTTTTAAGTTCATAATCCATGTTTCATGGTCAACCACCAACTAAAAAATAAATGAAAGTTGTGCGTGATTTACATATTTTAATACAATTTCGTAACGGCATAAATGCATTATATTATTATTATAACTTGAAGTGCGTCAATGGACATTTCTTTTTATGTATCTTTTATCTATATTCTTCTTCATTCTTTCTTTTCTTTTATTTCTGGGCCGTATTTAACACTCGCTCGTGCGTTGGAGTAACACCTCGCGAGGAAACCGACTATCATCTAGTTGTCTATTAAGAAAGAAAGTGGTCGAGAAACAAAAAAGAATATCTTCAGTTGTAGTGCCTCTGGTTTTAGTACAGCAAATTGTAGATAGACACAGAATTGTTCAGACAAATCTCGATGTGTTTAAGGACGAATTATATCCAAGGCTGGTTTTTTGTTTTTATAATAAATTATAAATAGTAATAGTACTTAACTACAGAGTTCTATATCCGGGGAGAAGAAAAATGTTTCGATTTGGAAGAAGTTAAAAATTTGTTAAGAATTATGATCAGAGAGAATTCATAAAGTATTATGGCCTTGAAATAAAATATTTTTTATAAAATTTACCCTTGTTGTAGCGTCATGGTCCCCGTCAACATAGTATATTCGATATCCTAAGTTCAAATCATAATATGGCGATACGGATGGCCCGACGTACGCTATACTTGTGGCTCTGCCTGAAAAAACAAATTATTTATTCGAAACAACAAGTTTCTCAAAAGTTATTATAGAATATAATTTGACTGCCTTCGTTCCGTTGATCACGCACTTGTATTATTAAATCATGTTGAAATCTAGATTCAGTTTCAAATAAATGATATATTATAATTTTCCGAATCAATATTGTTTAGGAGGTATCGTTTTCTCCCTTTATTTTAAGAAAAACGGTTAATGTAAGACACAAATTAGTTGGATGGAGGTTTACTTAGTGCGAGCCATAGTTGACTCTGACCGTATTTCAAAAGACAAGTTTTAATATGAAGGAGTCATGTGTCTTAAGTCTTAACCATCATTCATAAATAATAAAAGTAATTCCTATTTATAATCTGCAAGGCTGGATTTAAAAATAATTTTAATTTCGGTACTGCAGAAGATAAATCACGTTCTTCACTTACCTAAATCATTCGGATCGTAGAAAACCTCAAACTCGTCAAAATGGGTATGTCCAAAGAATTGTGCGGTTATCGTGGATTCGTATCTATTAATTATAGCGTAATAGTTTCTACTCCACACTTTCAGGCAGTCCGAATGTCCCGGTGGAATGTGGCCAATTATATGAACTTTTTCGCCACTGAATTCAGCTGACTGAAGTTCGTATATTAACCATTGTAATTCCGTCGCAGGATCCGTACTATTTAATAGCAGCCACCTTAAATATCAAAATTGAAGATACAAACTCTATAATTAATACTCTATAAAGATACTCTGATTTTGATCTGGGAGTCTGTGCCAGCTTTATCTTGTACATATTTTACTAATCACAAAGCGATTATGGTGTAATATGGCCTTTGATGATACAGCGAAACCATACATTACTGTTTTTATGAATATGGGACAAACCGTTTGTCACAAACGGGCAGCAAGCTCATCTGATAGTAACTGATATAGACATATTGCCAGAATACGTACCTATACGTACGTAGGTACGTTGCCGGCTTTATAGCCTTAAGTATAATCTATTATTTACCCTAAGTCGAATTAGTTCGGATTTTTTTAATGCAAAAGACTGATATATCTAATATACATCAACAAGTAGTGCAAAAATGTTAACCTTATCAATTGTAAGTAACGCCTGGACAGTATTTAGTAGCTTCAAGTACGAGCCTCATAAATGCAACAAATATATTTTCAAAATGCCACCACAATGCGTTAAATTTCCATTTATAGTGAATAAAAACTGCTCCGCTTACGAATACAAAGTGTTAAATGGCTTAAGATGACATTTTTACTCGATTAGCTATTATTTCGCACTTATTGTTACAAGGTTCCCACGGAAATGGGAGTCTCTCCGTTACTTTAACTTTTACTTAACTTCACGTTCTTTACTTCACTTCACTTTAACTTTTACTACAAATTTATTTCCTTATAATTAAACAAAATACACTACATAATTTGTTTTAATATTATATACGACACCGGGCAATAGAGGTAAAGCAAACTGACGTTAAGAGAAAACTGGGCACTAACAAAGATAAAAGATCGTAGTATTTGAATAGTAATTATTTATTTTTTCCTGAATAATATAGAAAAAAAACTGATATTGTGGCTTCAAACTCCTTGGTAATTATAGGAGATACTGAAATCGCTTCAGTATGCCCCACTTATATAATGTTGTTTTAACTTTTCTTTTTAACTAACCCTTTAAAGTTTAAGTAAATGTTTTGTTACGTTTTCGGTAGCAAACAAATCTTGTGATTAAGCAGTAGGCACTACTGAGAGACCATCAATCGTTTTGGGTTCTATAATTGTACTTACCAGTTCTTATTATTACAATAATTCATATTGAGAGATATAATGCGGAATCCAGGTCTTACAAGGACCGAGTAAAAGGCACCACGTCTAATAGTGTGAGAGACGCCAGCGGGTAACCACCTCCGCCATTGCGCATCTAACTCATTATACAACCATCCTATGTTAGAGTCCGGTGATGATATGTATGGTGGCGGGAAACTGGAAGAATTTACATTTTTTTAAAATTACAATGACTTGGTGATTGATTTTTCTACCAAGGAGTAGATATATTCTTTATAAGAAACCCGTAAAATCCCTAAACAAATTTTATCTTTAGATATACTTTCAACACAAGGCTTAACAATTTGATAAATATTAGTCTATTAATAGATTAGAGAACAGAGAATCTTCGACCTGTTTAATCCTTCAAAACAATCTTAGTAAGTGAAAGTATGAACGAAGATGCAATAAGATAATATAGGTATGTAAGGAAAACATAATATATTTTCCTATACAAACTCTTGTCTATATTGTATTTTATATAAACTATTAAAAAAAAAAAATAAAATAAATAATATACTATTAATATTTAATATACTATATATATTTTTTTTGTATATACATATTGTATGTATATAAAATTCTCGTGTCACAATAATCGTTCCCATACTCCTCCGAAACGGCTCAGGGAGCGTTCAAGTATTACGTAACGCAATTTTTGGAGATTATTGACCCCCCATGTATCTCGCCGTAACGTTTTTCAAATATTTTTTTTTTAAGTTTTAGACAATTTTTTTTGTTTTTATTTTTTTACGATACAACATACAAAAATACATACAACCCTTAATTTCTACCCCTTTACGATCATCCCCTATTTCTTATTATAGCAGATAGTTATTTTTATTTAACTAAAACAATGTTTCTTAGAAATAGTATACATGGCAAAACAACATTTGTCGGGTCAGCTAATATTATATAATAATTACCTGTTCACTGGCGATGATTCGTGATTACCAAGGGCTGGAAATATCGGTACACCAGGGAACATATCTGACATTTGGGCGACTGTTTCCTGAAGGACTTTAAGATTTTCTTCCTTCGTCTGATTCCATACATCGTGCGGTGGCAGGTCCCCAGTCCATAGAATGTAATCAATGTCCTGCAAGAAATATTAAGTAGCTAACTCAAACGTTATTACCAGTTCCCATATCGATTTTACGGACTATGGCCCAATAGATAAAAGTGAGTGAGTGATTGATACCTTGCGAGCGTGAACTCCATAGTTTACGTTTATGTTATTATGTATGATTTAATGGAAATGTTATTATATTAATGGTGACTATCCTCAAAATTGAAATTGGGGAACCGATGTGCTCACCCCTACTATGATTGCCAGTAACATAAGTAAAAACGTACTTAAGAACTATGAAGTTTTATGTGAGAACTATATTGATGCCCATTGTTTTATAGAGAACTTTATACAAATAATTATTATAAAACATATTCTCAGTTATATTACTGTAAACATAAAAATAATCGTATTCCTTCTAACAACAATAAATAGATACTTTGACCTACGATGCCATTAATTAACCCTGCACGTTCTACATGACGTACGGTATCAGCTAATAGACATGCTTCATCGTGTGTTCAACTATTTAGAAATGCTAATTTACTTAAGTCGACGTGGCTAGCTTAGTTAGTGGTGCTTTTTTCCGCGCACCACTAGGTATGTCTAACCAGCTGAACCTTTACGACAAAGGATAGTCTTAGTTGTCAAAAAACTTTTTAAATGGCCAGCCATGCTGTCGCGAGACTGGCTGAGTATCTAGGCGCTTTATTATCAATATTCTAATAATACTCTTGTCCAATAATTGCCCCCAAATCTATACAAAGAAGACTTACGGATTTGTTATTTGTTTAGATATACTTAAAAGAAGTACAATTTTTATACGATATTATATAGACAGAGTAAAGACATGCTTGCGGTAAATCATGTGAAAACTGGGCAGAACTTTATAATTGTAAAATACACATTTAAGCACGATTTTAATCCTGTGAAATATTATATATACGGTTTAAGATATGTATGTCTCATTAATCATAACATTTACCTACAATATACTAAATAAGACATTAATAGATTAAGCTATTTTATACATTTAAATTGTGAGAAACTTAAAAAAAAAGTACAATAACTATTATCAAATTTATTTTCATCTCCGGACGGCAGTGTTGGCCTATTGGCATCAGCGTGCGACTCTTATCCCAGAGATCACGACGCTCATCCTGCTGGTTCGAACCCCGGTTGTGCACCAAACGACTTTCTATCCATGTGCGCATTTAACACTCGCTTGTAAAAGGAAAACATCGTGAGGAAACTGACCTTAGACGTAAATAGTCGACGGCGAGTGTGAGGCACAGAAGGCTGATCACCTACTTGCCTATTAGTAAAAAACAACTGATCACGAAACAAATACATAAATCTAAGGTGCACACCTAAAAGGTTGTAGCGCTATTTGTTTTTTGGTTTTATATTTCGTACGGCAAACGATAAGTATCGCTTTACATTTAATTATGTTAAATGCCTTACGGTATGCGTATCGGCTATATGCTTCAACATGTGGTCAATGGTGCGTTTCGGAGTATCGCATTTCCGGTAATCCCCCCAACGGCCAGCGCCCCCACCAGGGGTTAAGGCGGGTCCATTTGACGCTCTACAACATAAGGGCTCGTTGCATTCTGCGTTTGAACCTGAACAAGAAAACACTTGTAAAATATTGGTTTTGAATTTTGATAGAGAAGACACCTTTTCATGTTAGCCTGTGTGGATACGAAATAGCTTGTTTGGGAATCAAACCCAGGACCTCCAATTATACGCATTGTGCGTTTCTAACTATGCAATCGGGGCGGAAGTCCGATGTACAACTCTCTAAATTAGACAAACAAGTATAAATTATTCGGTGGAATGCGTCCTTTTTTCGCTTTATATGTACTCGTTTAACAACTGAATATCATATTGACTCGTATCTTTTCCTTAGTTTAATTTAGTTAATAATTATATTAGTTCTAAAATCATATACAGATAAGTGATAACGGACTGAGGTCGTTATGTAGTGCTATCTAAAAAGGGTTACCTTCAGCATAGTACGGGTCGAAATGAGTGTCAGATATTTGCAGTACTTTAAACGATGGAGCTTTCTCTATCGGCGCTTCTAAATCATGTCTCGGCGGCTTTGGCACTGGCGGGAAAGCTACTTCCCATTCATGGTACGGGTTATAAACATCGCCACAAGCATCACCAATCACGAAACTACATATTTCGTCTGGGCCATATGTCACTCGCGTTAGGACGTAGATTACCTCACTCTGAAAATTATTCTTGTTATTATAAAGTGAAAAAAGCCTCAAATTCACCAAGCAATTAATTCAAAGCAAAGTCAATCTTATGAAAACTCTGTAACAAACTATTTAGTAATGTGGAAACATACAGCAAAATATAAGCGAGCAGAGTAATATAAAAAAAGAATAAATGTTTTATGCTGTACAATTGATACGATAAAATATCTTTTTATGTATATATAAATACCCCAAATAGTCGCGTAATTCCATCGCAGACTCTGGCTGATTGAATATTCAGCGAGACGCAAAATTTATAAATCATCTTATTTATTTCCTCTTTACTTTTACCAAGCCGCATATAATGTTGTAACAAGCCTGCCCCCGCCTTACACGCTGTGCATGAAACCTTTGACATAACAGAATGTTCCACTTCGTAATAAACTTGTTTTAAGTTGAGCAGCTTGAGTGCTTTATCGACGAAGAGCGGCAGATTACTGCTCTTATCACTATCCCAAAGGAGTCGAGAATAATTTCGCTTTAAGGCGGCCATGTGTGCTATGAGTTCCGTTTCATTGGCTGTAGGAGGTAGTTTGTGGGTGAAGTTAGATGGCGAAAATAAAGCTTCGTCATTGCGAGGTTCCTCTGTCCAGTTCCAGGTGTCCATTGGTTGACTCCATTTGATAACTGGTTTTATATTTCTGCCTGTTTGCAAAAATAATGGATTACCTGTAAAAAAAAAAAAAAAAAATAAAAACATATAGATGATATTATGGAGCCCCAGAGAAGTTGGTAACGTAATGCAAATACCAAGAAACTTTTTAACTGCAAAGAGAATATCTGCTTCAAAAATAAATTATTGACATAGTGACAGAAATTAGTAGTAGTAGTTTTCAATAATAATAAGTGAAAAAAATATTTAACATGAAATACCTTATAAGGCTATTTAATCCAATTAAGAATGTGGTAAATCATATGGTAAGTAAATAAGGCTGATATACGATTGTTTTTCATGTAGTAATAACTTTATGTAATAAAAATAGGAAGCATTATAAATATTAACTTGCCTGATACTAAGATTATTGTGAGGCCGAGAGTTACTGCTTGAAGAAGCCATGGTAATCTAATAACCATGACTAGGGGCGTAGAGGAAGTCTGTAAACAAATTGTAAATTGTTTTATGAAAGAGTATATGTGGTCAAATAGAAAAATACATAGTTTCAATTCGTTGTTTGAAAGTTAGAAAAAAATCAGCCACCGGATTACAAAATTTTTTCGCAGCTAATTTGACATTTGACATCTCTTTAATAATCGAGGTCGTCCGATGTACGAAAGAGACTGTGTGGACGTACTAAAATATTGTGGAATGAATAACCTTCTCCTTGGGGTTTTCTAAAGAAATAAGTAAATGTGATTTTTAACTTATAGTTTTTCTGATATACAATTTAGTATCTGGTTGTAAATAAACTTTTCATATTAACTCATAGTTTATTGTAATCGCTAAACGCAATAAAATGTCTCGTAAAAATCCTTTTCCCACTATAATCTAAGAGAAAGTAGGCCAACGGATTATGTCATAAAATATAATAACTGATAGATTTTTATGGCACCAAAATCATGAATATACCCTATAAGGAAAACAGGACGATAGAATTACTAGTTCAATGACCTTGCCGACATCTCCATAAACAACATGTTATTATTTAGTTATTGGAAAATATATAAGTTAGTTGTAGTACCCCATTGAATACGCAACGCAGGCAGTGCTCAGGGCTCTCATATGTACTTCTGGTTTTTATGAAAAAATTTCGCTAAAGATTGGTAAGAATAATTAAAACTGTTTCTAAATTAATTTGAGCTAGATTTGATTTATAAATCACTTACTTGCCATATTGATTTACACAAATACATATATTCGTCGTTGTCGAAAGATTTACATTCTGAAATTGTATTGGAGAAATAGCTTAATACTTTTAGCGAAGCTTCACATACAAATATGATTTGTAAAGAGTACTGATATGCAGTATGGCAAATTAGTTTATCCTATTGCAGAATTTTTTTAAACCATTAGACAAATATTTCATAAACACAATGTAACCCGCACTAACGCAATCGTGTCATGGGTACATGACCATAATTTAGATTTTAGACCGTATGTTCTGAATATAATAAGGTAAAGAATGATGTGGGATGGTAATTATCTGTTTACTGCATTGAAAAGTGAATACCAATGAAATCTTTCTCTGCGTATAATGAAGGCAAAAAATCCGAGTATATTTGTAAACTTGGTCATAAAAATATAATAAACAGATATATCGTTTTGTTATTCATAATTACCTACTGCCGATTTTAATTTGTTTTTAGAAATACATGGAAAAATTTTGGTTTATACGAAATGGACTTTATACGAAAAACGTGTCTACATTGAAGATTAAGTGTAGTTGGGCTAACTAATCGTTATTTGCATTAAATTTTACATGTTGTTCATATACGCCTATGTTTTGCAACAACGATCGAAAATTAATCCTATTTCCAAGTGGAATTTTACATGGTATTCAAACCGTGCGTTAAATGAAAGTGTATAACAAGATGTAAGCAGATGAGGCATCATGCAACAGTTTGCGATTTTCGTAAGTCTGTGAGTCAGCATTTTATAATACGGACGTGGAGGTCGCCACTTTCTCCTTGCTTCATTGACTTTGCTGGAAAGAAAGTGACGCCGGTATCGCACGTTTTGCACTGAAGCGCACACAATAACTTACTTGCAAATTGATATTGCGACGTGTTATTAAAAATAAAATGAAATAGTGGATGTTCACTGTTAGATAACTTTCCTATAATTAATTTAACACATTCGAGACTCAATTCTGTCATATATACGGCGAAATCTTTATACATTAGTCATAAATAAAGTAATTTTTGCAATGAATTTTTTCACACACTTTTTCTTTTTTAATTGTGTTACAATCACTAAGTTATTGTGGCAAATTTGTGAAGAATAAGTTTTTTTCTTATGTATGGGCTATATTTCTCGAGGCTTGATATTTCTGTATTAGGTTAGGTTTTCTTATTGTATAATTCGTTATAAGTATTCTTATAGGATCTAGACGTTGCCGGGATTCATTTTATTTAAGAAACATTCCGAATATTTGATCGGTGGGTTGATGTGCGATATGTGAGAAAAACTTCCGCAAATTATATTTATATGAATATAGTTAAATTTTTCTTAGGACAAGAACGACTACAACTTTTTCCTGTTTTTGAATACGAGAGGCGTTTAATAAATTGTAATAATGCTAAACATTCTCCTTGAAAATGTATCGCATTATCACTATTTTGTTTTATTTATTAAAAAAAACACTGGCACACATAACCCAGATATAAGATATAGTATCTAATAATAATAAAGCAATAATTTCTCTTTTGTTTTTTTTAAACATGAATTACTAGTTTGCGTCGTGTCGGTTATAAAATATCTCTGATTGAACTTTTTTACTATGAGCTCATGCTCCTCTATATTCTACGGTTACGACCCCTGCACTGGACGCCCTTTTTCAGTAGTTAGTTCAATTACTACTGAACAAACGATTTAAAAAGTTGAAAACTTTTTCCTGTTACTGTATGTTTTATAGCAGAATAAATAAAGATTTCGATAAGAAGTGTATTATACACAACCATTTGGGTATGAAAAAAGTGACAGCGCTCTGGGTGCTCAGAATCCTTTCAGAGATGCTGACAATGCTGTTTGGGTTTGATACAACAATATCTTGTCCGATTTTTGGCTTTGAAACATTGCTCTACCATTTTGACCCGGAAAGAAAAAAGCAGTTGGAAGAAACCTACAACTCCAACTCCGCAGAAATTTACGGCGATTCCATCAATTAGGACAGCCAAGGGGTGGTAGTAATGATCCAATACCTTTACATAGATCCTATTGCGGAGACTTTTTTTCTAGGTAGAACAAATAACAAATGTGCCAGATGAAAAACGCAAACAACGGCGTGGCAAACTCGGTAAAGTTGTCTTGTTTCACTAAGACCCCCGCGAACAAGTCCAGAGTTTCGATGGCTGCTATTCATGAAGCTGGCATCGAATTGATGGAACATCCTCCATATTGACCGAAGATAGTTTCTATTGTTTTTTTACCTATTTCCGCGGTTAAAGGAACATCTCAAGGGCCATAAATTTCAAGATGACGCAATTGCGGTACACGATTTTTTTACAAAAACGGAATTGTAGCTTTAGAAAAAAGACATACATTGCTTAAAAGGTGACTACATCGAATAAAATCAAATAACATCCAATAAAAGGCAATTGCGTCACTCCTTTTTCCTTTTTTATTGAAAACTCCTAGTATTTTCTTGTATGTAAATAAAGTGTTATTATTATGTGAAAACTTTGAATCTTGTTAAAAGGAAAATTACTGGAATACACGTTAATAGATTGTATAGATTCAGGTATAGTTAGTTAAATTGTTTAAGTAAGATAAAAAGATACAATGCATATTAATTGCGTTTCCGCATTTATAACGTGTCATTTTAATGCGGATCTGTCAATAAAGCCAACATATTACTTATATTTTATGTAACATAGTAGCTGTATACTTGGTGTAATTTTATACCTAGCAATACTTAGCTAATATCTAGGTTGTATTATGCATATATTTATTGAAATAATTAAAGAGTAACTGTAGAAACATGTAGATAAATAATATGTATATTCATTTGTTCCCACTACCATATTATTTTCTGTTTTAGAAGCAATAATTAATTTTATTGACATTGAAACTTATTAGCCACTTAAACATTTTTCGAAATTTCTTAGGATGGCTTATGATAATTTGGATGGCGCTAACGATATTATAGCCTAAACACGTCGTCGGTAAATGTTGTGTGTTTTAGTTATCTATGATAGCAGTTAATAGATTTTCGTTTTTTGTTTCTTTCTCAAGACAGATTCTAATCTATGATTCGTAGCTGTATGAGTATACTAAATCTTCTATTTAATTCGTTGTTTTTAAGCCATTATAGGCTAAAGATTCCTTTTACGGGAATCGACCAGTAAAGTTTAATTACCGAGATCATAATTTGTACTAGTATAAAGTTAATTGACACTTTTTAACACAGACTTAATCAATTTTAGATCTCGAAAAATCCATTCCAGTACCGCGCTATGCCTCGACTACTTTCATTCACTCTCCAAACTTGGCTACTTGTTTAAGTTCACCAAATCTAAATTTTATGGTTATATAATACTCGTGTACATTTTTATAAGAGACCGCATAGATTGTAGCGCTGTGAACAGTTACAATGCATGTAGCGGTACATAACTCTTATTGTTTTTAATAATAATACCGTTTCTTAACGTTCGGTTAAATACGTACAATTATAATTATTAAAATATATAATAACTTCTCATTATTTCATCAACGTGGAGCCTAAATGAATGAATAAAAAATATATATTTAACATTTCAATCAACAATAGAAGAAAAAAGAACACTAAGGACGAAGTTTGTGTGGAGACCCGCCATTTTTAACTTAACATATAAAAACGACTAAATTTATGTCGCGAACGTTAAGGAAACTGTTAACTACAGTTCCCTTAACGTGAAGAAAATATGTTTGATTCTAATTTGGGACTATCGTGGAAAAACTGATAATGGTATCCTACATTGATATATTGATTTTTACATGTACTAGAAATAGGTCTAAGGCGGAGTTTCTCTTTCTCTTTCTCTCAACAAGTATATTTACGAATTGAAGAAAAATAACAGAGAAAAACTGTCGTAGGTAGTATCTTAATTAGAATGAACAAAAAAATAGATTATTTATGTATATGTACCTACGTGTAGTTCTCTGTGTACTGGTAGTACAAGAGAAAATACATTATAGTTTTTACTTTAGCCCACTTCTACTGGTTTAGTTTTCTACTATCCAATACATAATCCCACTTATCGTTGTTGTTTTCTAGTCATTGTACTTCTAAGTGTTTGATTATACTTAACATAATATATTGATAATATGTTATGAAAACTGATAAACTTCTCAGTTGTAAAGGTTACTCGTTAAATGACCATCCCTTGATATTAAACAATATATTTGAAGTATTTGACGAAAACAAGTGTTACGAAGA